TGAAAGTAAATGGGTGTGTTCAAGCAGTAAGCCTAACGAAACCGACAGTAGACGAAGTCAGCAAATTAAGTCGGGGGAGGTGCATCTGCGACAGCCGAATGTCGTACACTGTATTGGTTTTCCAACAGCAAGGCTCAGATCAACATGGCAGTGTCAACATAGCTGCTATTGTTTATAAAAGTTTGTCTGTATAAATGTTGAAATAAACGTTTCTATACCCCCATATCACACACTCACAAACTGGAAACATAACATGTATACAACTCATTGGTTAGAGCAGGGGTGTCAAACTCATTCCACAGAGGGCGCCGTGTCTGCAGGGTTTCATTTTATCCTTTCAATTAAGACCTAGACAAACAGGTGAGGCGAATTCCTTACTCATCAATCAAGTACAAGGGCGAAAACCGGTAGACACTCGGCCCTCCGTGGAATGAGTTTGAGTTCATGCAGTCGACATGTAGTCGCAAGTCAGTCAATTTTTATAACCATATTGCAACAGACTTTGAAAGGCGGTGACCAACTATGGTCAACCACTTGACAAAAGTGATCCGCTCGAAGGCGCCCAATGACTTCTATGTTTCACTGCGTGATGTGGATGTATAGTGTGAACGCATGCATCAACCAATGGTAGCATGCCTAGTCATCGACTGTGCCGTCAGGCACCAGATTGCTATAACATGATGTGGTTAGCTGATACTTAAAATACCTATCCAGGCATTGTAAGATCTGGCATTTGTCAGCAATGCCTGGGCAGAGGAACGCACCCTTCCTCATTATGTTGCATTGGTGACGCCGATAATAGAGCCCCACAGTGGAGGTGTCATAATACCCATAAAACAAAGCGGTCAAACAGGGAAATGGTTCCAATTGTTTTTCCACCATTCATTTTTCCCATAGGGGATTTTAGAAACACTTAAAATAAGGGCTGTGTTTCATGTAGGCTTACCCTGGCGTGACATTTTGATAACCATGTAAATCTCCCTCGGACAAGGTGACTTTTATCAATTTCTTCGGCTCTATTTACTCTCAGATTCGAAAATGCTAATTTAGCATTTCATTTGATGGGGGTAAATACAGGCGAATATATTGATAAAAGTCACCTTGTCCTTATTTTTCATTTTATTTTTTGCCCTAATTTTAAGTGCTTCTAAAATCCCCTATGGGAAAAATGAATGGTGGAAAAACTATTGGAACCATTTCCCTTTATGGGCATTATGACTCATACTGTGGTACTCTATTGCATTGGTTTATTTCGTTTGGGGTATATTTGATATGGTCAGTGATATAGTCAGTGACTGCAGTTATCATTAATTATGTTGTCTATAGTGTTTTGTGTCTATATGTTTTTGATATGCACATTTTGACCGGTCATGTAAAAACCTACCTGTTTGATTATGTGTGAATGGTTTAGCCCGTTTTGGGAGTGTCAAGTTCAGGTAGCCTTTATGCTTGATTGTTGTGGATAACTGGTTGTGAAACAACATGTGTTGTATCTCTCTTGTATGTTTTAGGCTATTTAGGTATTTTGCCCTGTGTCCAAGTTCGACTATCACTTTTGCACTGTTGTCATTGGACTGCACTGTAAATAAAACCTATATTTTCACCATATTTTTATTCTCAGGTTTACTCTGTGTGCTCAAACCCTCCTAATTAGACTGTTGGCTCCCACTATATTTTAACAGACTGGAAAGGTATAAGCAACATGGTACTTGATTCACCTTTGGATTCTGACGAATGTATGCTATTTTAGCTTAATGCTTATACCTAGGGATGTGGCGGTCATTACATTTAGTCATCAGGTGATTGTCATGCAAATAACTGCCAGTATCACGTAATTGACCGTTAATTAACATAAACATGTTTTGCATGTCTGGCTTCCACTGCATAGCCTACAAGCCACTGATGCAGACTTTTGGAACATCTACATTACATTTTTTTTTAAAATAAATCCATTTAATACATCCTACACCATCACAATAAATCCGTTATTTAGGTCTAAAGGAACATTATGAAGAAAATGTAGCCATTTTCAGAAGAACGGAATAGCATATTCTGAGTTGTCTTTATGTTAGGCCCTGATCTGGCTATGCCATATGGCTGTGGGCTACACTACTTCATTTAGAAGGCAATATTTGCTTATAATTTCCTTGGCATTATTTTGTATTATTTTATAGTAAGAACAATACAATTGAACATAGCTGAATGAAACAGAAATGATATTTTCCACAAAGGATTTCTGCGGGAGTGAGCACATGCGGCTATTATCTATTGACGCACCCGTGCGTCAATCTAAGTAACATAATAAACAAATCCCCATCAAATTCCGTCAGTTTAAGCCCACGTTAATTCTCCTAACCTGCCATGTTGATTCTCCTAACCTGCCATGTTAATTCTCCTAACCTGCCATGTTGATTCTCCTAACCTGCCACGTTAATTCTCCTAACCTGCCATGTTAATTCTCCTAACCTGACACGTTAATTATCCTAACCTGACACGTTAATTCTCCTGTCCTGCTATGTTAGTTCTCCTAACCTGCCACGTTAATTTTCCTAATCTGCTAAATTAATTCTCCTAACCTACCATGTTAATTATACTAACCAGCTACGTTTATTCTCCTAACCTGCCATGTTAATTATCTTAACCTGCCTAACCGGTTCAGCTAAAACGCTACAAGGAAGCAGGAAGCAGCCAAGCAAAACAGTCTTGAGTGGCAACCAATCTCCCCAATTAGCTGTTAGGTTTCGACTTTCGAGACACCCACTGGTGTTGATCCTCCCACTTGTTTCGCAATGCCCACTTTCAGACACACTCCACATACGCAGTTACCCCATAGAGAATGATGGAAGCCTCTAGTGGCCACCATGTTTCCACCATTTTAAAGTGGTCAAAGTATTCAACTGGTTCGGGATTCCTATGGGTTGTAGCCACTGAGGTAGAATAAGAACTGGAGACTGCATCCAAGATGTCCAACAGTTGTTTTTAAGGTTATCTATTCACGTTTGCAGACGCCGATTCATGGACCGTCTATGTCCGGGTTGCATCCGATTTATATGGACCAACATCACATGCGCACTAGCACTCATTGCGCACCGGGAGCAGTGCAAACAGCAATGACATCATCACGTCATCCAAAAACATGGTAGACGTTGGATGAATATAAATTGTATATCTTCGGCTGTGAGTGATGAAAAACAAAATCGGCCTCAGCGACAATTATTTTAGTAATTCAATGGATGTTTTGTGCACAATGGTGATGACTAAAATGTCTTAGTAGGAATTTCTAGTCTGATTTCTCTATGTGGCCATCTATGGAAATTGTCTTTCTGGGCCGGGCGTCAGTTAAACTGCACTACCGAAGCAAACCTGTAGGATCAGTGGAAACCATGCTTCTAGACCGGAACCTTGGGCCCTTGGTTGTAGCCTCACGCCTCAATCACACACAACGCAGAGCTACAGCGGTGCAGCACAGCACTGGTTACACATACATTGGATTGATCAAAAGTATGTGTCAAACTGTATGCGTAGACGGCTTGACAGAAATGGTAGCAGAAGGTGAATGTTGAACTTTTGTTGCACACATATCCAGATCCATATCCAGGCCTCCTGTAGCTCAGCTGGTAGAGCATGGCGCTTGCAATGCCAGTGTTGTGGGTTCGATTCCCACGGGTATGAAAAATGTATGCACTCACTAACTTTAAGTCGCTCTGGATAAGAGTGTCTGCTAAATTACTAAAATGTAAATGATGCTGCGTACCATTTTGCACAATAACACTGTAGGTGTGATCAAGGCATCAATGGCGCTGCTGATGCAGTCACAGACGTTATAATGGAACATATATAAAGATGAGACCTCTATCTTTCTCTATGAGTTACCCATACTTAATTCTCATAACCTGATATGAACCGCCAACTCTTGACTCCTCAATCAATCCTACAACGTTTATCTGCTAGGTATGCAGCGTCATCTGTATATGTGTGCAACAAAAGTTCAACATTCACCTTCTGCTACAGCTTGACAGAAATCGTAGCAGAAGGTGAATGTTGAACTTTTGTTGCACACATGTCCAGATGATGCTGCCTGAGTACCATTTTGCACAAAGATGCTGTAGGTGTGACCTGGGTGTGACGTAAATTTTACAAAAGCTGGATCCTTTCAAGCCATGACTGCTTTTTTCAGCGTTTTTATAAATGTATACCTGTTCACCACTAATTAGGGTCAATGGCAAAAAATCTCTGAAGCTGGAGACTCTTATCTCCCTCACTAACTTTAAGCATTAGTTGTCAGAGCACCTTACCGATCACTGCACCTGTACACAGCCCATCTGAAATTAGCCCACCCAACTACCTCATCCCCATATTGTTATTTATTTTGCTCATTTGCACCCCAGTATCTCTATTTGCACATCATCTCTTGCACATCTATCATTCCAGTGTTAATACTAATTGTAATTATTTTGCACTATAGCCTATTTATTGCCTTACCTCCATAACTTGCTACATTTGCACACACTGTATATATATTTTCTGTTGTATTTTTGAGTTTATGTTTTGTTTTACCCCATATGTAACTCTGTGTTGTTGTTTTTATCGCACTGCTTTGCTTTATCTTGGCCAGGTCTCAGTTGTAGCAGACAAAATAAAAAATAAATAAAAAAAATTGTAAATGAGAACTTGTTCTCAACTGGTTTACCTGGTTAAATAAAGGTGAAATAATCATGGACCATAACTGTGGTTCCTATTCTGTCATGGATAGTAACGTAAATCTACTATCTTTGGCAAGAGGAAGAGGACAATTAATATGGGATCTCGAGAGCCTTGCATCAGCTACTCCAAAGAGAATAATCTACTGACGCAACCGCATGGCGTCAGGACCGTCCACGTGACCGGGCGCCGTTGGATATTTCAGGAAACTGGACCAGCCAGCTGTCATTATTAGCGACAGGCGAGCGAGTTCAAAGTGATTGTAAACATGGTGACCAAGAGGTGAACGAGACAGCAACATGGTCTTCGAAAGCGTGGTAGTAGATGTCCTAAACAGGTTTTTAGGGGATTACGTTGTAAACCTTGACAGCTCACAACTCAAGCTCGGGATTTGGGGAGGTAACGATTCTGTGTTACGGTTAGCTTGCTTGCTAACCACCCTTTGCTAGTTAGCTTAACGTCAATTCAGAATCCTGCAGCTGTCATGATTGTCGTCTCGGATGATAGCGTAAGACAAGGCTGCTGTGCTTGTTTGCTGGGGGCAAGTTTACTAGCTAGCTAGCTACTACAGTACTTGCTTGTTTGTTAGCAAGGGTGTGTAGCCAACTGGCTAGCTAGCTACAGGATATTACAGTTTTTTCTAGCTAGCTATTAAATCGGCTAGCTAGCTAAATTGGCTAACGTTAGCTTGAATTTACCAGCTAATCTAGTTAGATAGCTACACTATATATACAGAAGTATGTGGACACCCCTTCAAATTAGTGGATTCGGCTATTTCAGCCACACTCGTTGCTGACAGGTGTATAAAATGAAGCACACAGCCATAGACAAACATTGGCATTAGAATGGCTTTACTGAAGAGCTCAGTGACATTCAACGTGGCACCTTTATAGGATGTTACAGTTCGTCAAATTTCTGCCCTGCTAGAGCTGCCCCGGTCAACTGTAAGTGCTTTTATTGTGAAGTGGAAACGTCTAGGAGCAACAATGGCTCAGCCATAAAGTGGTAGGCCACACAAGCTCACAGAACGAGACCGCTGAAGCGAGTAAAAATCGTCTGTCCTCGGTTGCAACACTCATTGCAGAGTTCCAAACTGCCTCTGGAAGCAAATTCAGCACAATAACTGTTTGTCTGGAGCTTCATGAAATGGGTTTCCATGGCGGAGCAGCCGCACACAAGCTTAAGATCACCATGCTTAATGCCAAGCGTCAGCTGGAGTGGTGTAAAGCTCGCCACCATTGGACTCTGGAGCAGTGGAAACGCATTCTCTGGAGTGATGAATCACGCTTCACGATCTGGCAGTCCGACGGGTGAATCTGGGTTTGGCGGATGCCAGGAGAACACTACCTGCCCGACTGCATAGTGCCAACTGTAAAGTTTGGTGGAGGAGGAATAGTGGGCTGTTTTTCTGTGGTTCAGGCTAGGTCCCTTAGTACCAGTGGCGGTAGATCTTAACGCTACAGCATACAATTACATTCTATACGATTCTGTGCTTCCAACTTTGTGGCAATAGTTTAGGGAAGGCCCTTTCCTGTTTCAGCATGACAATGCCCCCGTGCACAAAGTGAGGTCCATACAGAAATGGTTTGTCGAGATTGGTGTGGAAGAACATGACTGACCTGCACAGAGCCCTGACCTCAACCCCATCGAACACCTTTGGGATGAATTGGAATGCCGACTGCGAGCCAGGCCTAATCGCGCAACATCAGTGCCCGACCTCACTAATTCTCTTGTGGCGGAATGGAAACAAGTCTCCGCAGCAATGTTCCAACATCCAGCCTTCCCTGAGGAGTGGAGGCTGAAATTGCAGCAAAGGGGGGACCAACTCCATATTAATGGCCATAATTTTGGAATGAGATGTTTGACCAGCAGGTGTCCACATACTTTTGGTCATGTAGTGTATCTTTCCAGGTTTGCTTTCAAGCCCAACCTAAAAAATAAAATGTCCAAAAGTCCCAGTGGTCACTCCCGTTTAGAGCTAAATTAGGCTAACGGTACATTAGCTCAGTGGTTCCCAAACTGTGAGCTGGGCGCGAGGTGTGTGTGTGTGTGTGTGTGTGTGTGTGTGTGTGTGTGTGTGTGTGTGTGTGTGTGTGTGTGTGTGTGTGTGTGTGTGTGTGTTTATATACATATTTATTTTACAGGAACTCAGTCCGGCTTTAAACGTACTCTTGAAAGTTGTAATAGTAGAATGAATCATCCGTTCCTCTTGTCATGTTAGTCATTGCATACCTTAGAGCGCTATTTATAACTTTATAACAGATCATCTAGCCCATGTCAGCTACATTTTTTTTATTTAGGTTTTTTAGCCCATAGATATTGTTGTAATTTGTCACTCAAATATCACATTAGACATGGCAAAATGTATAGAATTGCAAGAAAATTAGCTTTAAAACTGCTTAATGTTCTTTGCAACCATGACCTACATGGTCCCGTGTAGCTCAGTTGGTAGAGCATGGCGCTTGCAACACCAGGGTTGTGGGTTCGTTTCTCACGGGGGGCCAGTATGAATGTATGCACTCACTAACTGTAAGTCGCTCTGGATAAGAGCGTCTGCTAAATGACTAAAATGTTAATGACAAAATGTGTGGAATTTCAGGAAATAAGCTTTAAACCTGCAAAATTCTCTCCACCAACAAGAGGGGTGTGAACAGGCTTGTGAACATGAACAGTGCTTGTGCCCATAAAAATAGACGTGTTGCGCGCGGGATGTTAGCCAATGCTGGAATGGGGGCCCTGAGTGAAAAGGTTTGGGAACCCCTGCATTAGCTAATGTCAAGTGCTTAGACGACACACTGGCCTAGCTACTTTATTGACCTACTAGCTAGTACTACTAGCTGTATGACATATATATTCACACGTACACTATGGCTTAAATTGAAGATTATTCAGTGCCTTCTTGCTGATTACATGTCAATCTCTCATAGCATAGGCTATACCAGTGGTCACCAACCGTTTCTGAGTCAAGATCACTTTCACAGTCAAAGCAAGCCGAGATCTCAGCGCAGGGAGGGAGAGAGCAGCAGAGGGTCTGCCTCTCACGGTCCCTGCTCTCTCCTTCCTTTCCTCCGGTGAGACTGACCAGAGAGAGGGGACACAGTATTCCACCTGATGGCGAAACTCGAGTCGCTCCGCATCTGCCTCATGCACAATTTAATGTTGTTCCTATTACCAGAGAAAGTGAAATATTCCTCAATATTAAAATAGACACAATGAGCTGCTAATAATAATAAATACGCAGGGCTATCAATACACTTGGCTACTCATTCATTTCAGCTGCAGCGCGAGTGGAAGTTGGGAGAAGCGCGTTTTATGTTTTGTAATAGTGTTGAATAAAAACGACTAAAGTCCAGAGAGGACATATGAATAAATAAAATAGTTCCCTTGTTATGTCGATCACAACTTATTTCTCTCATGATCACAACATAACAAACGTTTTTTGTCGAGATCATGAGATAATCAAAAGTACCATGCATCATCCATTCATTTGTTCAGATGTGCAATGACCACTTCATCAAGGAGTCCTGTGGCTGCATTGATGGCGATGTGGGGCCTTTAAGCCCTGAACGATGCCTGAAAGGCAGCACTGTATCAAATCAAATTGTATTGTTCACATACATATTTAGCAGATGTTATTGCGGGTTTAGCCAAATGCTTGTGTTCCTAGCTCCAACAGTGCTGTAGTATCTAACAATTCTCAACAATAAACAATCTAAAATAATGGAATTAAGAAATATATAAATATTAGGAGGAGCAATGTCTGAGTGGCATTGACTAAAATACTGTAGAATACAGTATATGAATATGAAATGAGTAAAACAGTATGTAAACCTTATTAAAGTGACTAGTGTTCCATGTCTATGTACTTAGGGCAGCAGGTTCTAAAGGTGCAGGATTGAGTAACCGGGTGGTAGCCGGCTAGTGATGGGTATTTAACAGTCGGATGGCCTTGAGATAGAAGCTGTTTTTCAGTCTCTTGGTCCCAGCTTTGATGCACCTGTACTGACCTCGCCTTCTGGATGATAGCGGGGTGAACAGGCCGTGGCTTGGGTGGTTGATGTCCTTGATGATCTCAAATGTACATCTGTAAAAGTTTGTGAGGGTCTTATGGGCCAAGCCGAATTTCTTCAGCCTCCTGATGTTGAAGAGGTGCTGTTGCGCCTTCACCACACTCTCTGTGTGGGTGGACCATTTCAGATTGTCAGTGATCCTCAGGGATGTAGCTCAGTTGGTAGAGCATGGCGTTTGCAACGCCAGGGTTGTGGGTTCAATTCCCACGGGGGGCCAGTATGAAAAAAATAATAATAATGTATGCACTCACTAACTGTAAGTCGCTCTGGATAAGAGCGTCTGCTAAATGACAAAAAAAGAAAAAAGCTTTTCACCTTCTCCACTGCGGTCCCGTCAATGTGAATAGGGGCGTGCTCTCTCTGTTGTCTCCTGAAGTCCATAATCAGCTCCTTTGTTTTGTTGACGTTGAGGGAGAGTTTATTTTCCTGGCACCACTCCGCCATGGCCCTCACCTCCTCCCTGTAGGCTGTCTTGTCATTGTTGGTAATCGGGCCTACTACTGTTGTCGTCTGCAAACTTGATGATTTGAGATGGAGGCGTGCGTGGCCATGCAGTCATGGGTGAACAGGGAGTACAGGAGGGGCCTGAGCACACAACACCCCTGTGTTGAGGATCAGCGTAATGGAGGTGTTGTTCCCTACCTTCACCACCTGGGGGCGGCCCGTCCGGAAGTCCAGGACTCAGTTGCACAGGGCGGGGTTCAGACCCAGGGACCCAAGCTTAATGATTAGCTTGGAGGGTACTATGGTGTTGAAGGCTGAGCTATAGTCAATGAACAGCATTCTTACATAGGTATTCCTCTTGTCCAGATGGGATAGGGCAGTGTGCAGTGCAATGGTGATTGCATAATCTGTGGATCTATTGGGGTGGTTTGCAAATTGAAGTTGGTCTAGGGTGTCAGGTAAGGTAGAGGTGATATGATCCTTAACTAGCCTCTCAAAGCACTTCATGATGACAGAAGTGAGTGCTACAGGGCGATAGTCATTTAGTTCAGTTACCTTTTGCTTTCTTAGGTACAGGAACAATGGTGGACATCTTGAAGCAAGTTGGGACAGCAGACTAGGATAGGGAGAGATTGAATATGTCCGTAAACACTCCAGTCAGCTGGTCTGCGCATGCTCTGAGAATGCGGCTAGGGATGCCGTCTGGGCCGGCAGCCTTGCGAGGGTTAACATGCTTAAATGTCTTACTCACGTCGGCCACGGAGAACGAGAGCCCACAGTCCTTGGGAGCGGACCGCATCGGTGGCACTGTGTTATCCTCAAAGCGGGCGAAGAAGGTGTTTAGCTTGTCCGGGAGCAAGATGTCTGTGTCCACGACGTGGCTGGTTTTCCCTTTTGTAATCCGTGATTGTCTGTAGACCCTGCCAAAATTGCAACTACACTTTCTCTGTACTGACGTTTTGCCTGTTCTATTGCCTTACAGAGGGAATAATTACACTGTTTGTATTCAACCATATTCCCAGTCACCATGCCGTGGTTGAATGCGGAGCTTCGCACTTTCAGTTTTGCAAGAATGCTGCCATCTATCCACGGTTTTTGGTTTGGGTAGGTTTTAATAGGCACAGTGGGAACAACATCCCCTATACACTTCCTGATGAACTCAGTCACCGTGTCCGTGTATACCTCAATGTTATTCTGAGGCAACCTGGAACATATCCCAGTCCGCGTGATCAAAACAATATTGAAGCATGGATTCTGATTGGTCAGACCAGTGTTGAATAGACCTTAGCATGGGTACTTCCTGTTTGAGTTTCTGCCTATAGGAAGGGAGGAGCAGAATGGAGTCGTGATCTGATTTGCCGAAGGGAGTGCGGGGGAGGGCCTTGTAGCCATCCCGGAAGGGAGAGTAACAGTGGTCGAGAGTTTTTGTAGCGCGAGTACTACAAGGCAATGTGTTGATACAACTTCAGTAGCGTGTTCCTCAAATTTGCTTTGTAAAAATCCTCAGCTACAAAAAATGCGGCCTCAGGATATGTGGTTTCCAGGATGCTGCCTTGTAAGCTGTTTCATATGTACATCTCCTTGCAGACAGCCTACAAGGCAGCATCCTAACTTATCAGCCTCTGAGGCTTCTATTGAATCTCATCAGCATGCCAGGAATAGAGCAAACCCAGTCTTGATCATATACATAGTGCACTGACTGCTAATCTGCCTGCAGGGAGCTTTACCTATGAAACAGCCTACAAGGCAGAATCCTGACTTATCAGCCTCTGAGGCTCAAATTAAATCTGATCAGCCTGTTAGGAACGGAGGTCACACACTCTGTACATTTAAACATTACCCATAAATCATGAAGTGTCCCTTAAAATTATACACATATCAGTTATGCAAGCTAACAAACAGCATAGATAACAAGCTAGCTAGATAGCTAACAAGACTAGCTAGCTCGCTCACTCGCTCACTGACAAGACTAGCCAAGTTAGCTGCGTTGTTGCTTGCATGCGATTGTTTGTGGTCTTGGGAGTGACACAGCCTGGGAGACAGGGCTGCCTGTCAGGCATTGTTCAGGGCTTAAATGCCACACGAGGGCTTAGATGCCCCAGTGGGTCTTAGCTCAAGGTAGGGGACATTTAGCTTGCTAACATTCTAACTTAAACTGATAATGAGCTCCAAACACAAATGAAAGCATGATGTTAGCATGAAATGTACCATCCCTTAGTTTAGCAATCAATAAAAACATATGCGCCTATCCACGGTGGGCTCTGCCGCCTCAGCCATACTGTCAATCTATTACCAATACGTCCACTCCTATTTATAGAGTTTATCTCGTGATCTCGACAAAACAACTTTTGTTATGTCATGATCATTAGATAAATATATTGTGATCTTGACATAACGAGGGATTTTTTCATATGTCCTTTGGACTGCTGAATAAAACTTAAACATGAACTCACTCATAAAAACAGCAGCTCTTTGCTGTATTCTTTGACAGTCTCTCTCTGGTCATGATTTTAAAAGTTATGAAATCTAACGTAGGCTAGTATCAAACTTTGCTGTGGCCGGGGTCGTGGAAGCTGTAGGCACAGTGATTTTGAGCTATCCGATTGGCCATCGCAGTAGGCGCACTTGATTTAGTCACATATCTCCCGTTCCGCCGGGTAGGCGTAGTTTGTCTAATGGGAACACTTTGCTTACCTGGTGCTCAGGGCTTCTGAATCAACTACTCCTACCGCCAACAGCGCAACACAAAACAAATGTAAACACGAAAAGGAGCGCAGGCCTTTATCATTGGCTTTTGGTGATCAACTAGGAATGCCTTGAAGATCAACCGGTTGGTGACCACTGGTCTAAACAGTATCTAGGCATATTTCATTTTAGAAATATATGATCATTTATTCTAAGTCCAAGGCCTGACACCTTACCAACAGACAAAGCACAAAATTGTCTACTGAAATGCGGGCTCTGTGAAGAATATCTGGGCACCTGATAACATACGTTGCCGCTTGCCAATATATGCTTTGAATGAAAATGTACAGTGGAATTAGGCGAAGTGATTTGTCAGCTTAGGCTTGGCCGTATGCTTCTAACCTCATGGTACTATGCATTTATTAGTGATGTACACTGAGTGTACAAAACATTAAACACCTTCCTAATATTGAGTTGCACCCCCTCCCCTTTTTTCCCTCAGAACAGCCTCAATTCGTCGGGTCATGGACTCTACAAGGTGTCGAAAGCGTTCCACAGGGATGCTGGCCCATGTTGATTCCAATGCTTCCCACAGTTGTGTCAAGTCAGCTGGATGTCCTTTAGGTGGTGGACAATTCTTGATACACACGTGAAACTGTTGAGCGTAAATAAACACAGCAGCGTTGCAGTTCTTGACACAAATCGGTGCGCCTGGCACCTACTACCATACCCTGTTCAACGGCAATTAAATATTTTGTCTTGCCCATTCGCCCTCTGAATGGCACACATGCGCAATCCATATCTCAATTGTCTCGGGGCTTAAAAATCCTTCTTTAACCTGTCTCATTCCCTTCATGTACACTGATTTGAAGTGGATTTAACAAGTAACCTCAATAAGGGATCACCTGGCCAGTCTGTCATGGAAAGAGCAGGTGTTTATAATGTTTTGTACACTCAGTGTATATTCATGTGTCAGTGCTTATTGAATCATTTTAAAGGTCAACTGCCCCTTAGAACCAACTTATCTGGTTTTAAGCGGCCAATGTGGCATCGGTATGAGTCAGAAACATTAATTATAGTGTCAAAATTGACTACAAAGTGTAAATAGGATAATTTTGGTCAGTCAGTCACTTCCAAAACTGAGTTACTGGAGGGTTAGGTATGGATTACGATGATGCCAACGTGCCCAGTGCCCACTAACATGAGAGAAGCAGCTGTGCTGATTGCGCTCAATCAACTGTGCGTGCTCTATCCAATCGTACGAGTCAGAACCTCCAGACAGTGAGACAGATCTGACCATTATGCAGTGCCTCAGACTTGTTTCCATAAGACAACGCGTCGCCCATGTTAAAATAACACTTGGCCCTGAGCCCTTAATGGAGTGGCCACTTACTGATGTGTTTGATAGTGTCAGTCACTTTTTGGGGCAAAATTTGAATTGAGACGATCAGAGCGCACTTCTGTCCCAACTGCAACTTGTCAATTTTCCAAAACACATGTTACCTGTTTTGTAACATGATTCCCTATGAAACACTGACAGACAGACTCGCACTCTGGTAATAGTGAGAAAGTTGTACAAAACAACACTGAAGTACACACTTCGCCACTCGCCAGTGACTTGATAAGCTGATTGTGGCCTGACTGCTCAATGTGCCTGCCAGCTACTACTTGCTAGCTTCATTGACAAACACCAAGTTGGAACTTACCTAGCTAGCAAGTGATTTGGGGCACTGATAAAGAACGTGTAGCTTGTGCTTTATTTACGATAGTTTGACAGCTTGCAGATGATGAAGTTGTAGACATGTTATTGTTCTCAGAAATCAGTCCTGAGCACGCAGCCAGACTTTCCACACTCAATAGACTGTATGCAGTGCACTGACTAGTTTTTCATGGAAATGTTTCAACTTGAGAAATACTGCACCAAGTACCTTACCTAGATGTAAAATTGCGCGACTAAGACGTCCTCGGCAAAAATGTCTAAATGTAATTACGTATTTCTTGATTTATCTTGACTATTTTAAAGAAGTTACTTTTTTGAGGAAGTGGCTGTTGTTGCTACGGTGACTCAGGACGGGCAAACAACAGTACTTGCCAGGGTACGATATGCCAACATAACACACCTACATCAAACCACACCCCCAAGAGTAAGACAACTCTCATTTGGCTTCAGTCATGGCTGCTAGCATTTCTTAGTGAGTAATCTTCAAAACGAGGCCAAATAAGGAAGTGCAGTCGCCCTTTAAACAAATATGCTTTCTTTCTTTTTTTCTAGGCGATGCCGTGCTCAGAAATCTTGAAATAAAAGAAAATGCCTTGGTATGTTTTACATGAATGGCTAGGTCTACTACTAAACGTATCAGTGGTTAAATGTTAATTATGTAGGTACATTCACATTGGATTGTGCTGAGTATTTTTGTTCTTGTTTCAGAGCCAACTTGACATTCCTTTTAAAGTAAGAGCAGGGCATATAGGTAAGATTTGTCTGATGACTCTCAACCCAACACCTCCTACCATTACCATACAACATTTACTGTTATCGTCCTTCTCTGTCTTTCTCACTCTTCAATCTTTTTCCTATTTGTTCTCTCTCTACTATGTGTGTGTGTGTGTGTGGTTCTGTCAGGACGCTTGGAGTTGAAGATTCCATGGAAGAATCTGTACACACAGTCAGTGGAAGCCACACTGGATGGAGTCTACCTACTCATCGTGCCCACAGCCAGTAAGAAACCTAGCTGTTGTTTGTGTGTGTGTGTGTGTGTGGGTGTGTGTGTGTCTTTGTTAATGTTTGCGTGTTTCAGGTATAAAGTATGATGCAGAGAAGGAGGAGAAACAGCTCCAGGAGGCTCGTCAGAGGGAGCTCCAGAGGATCGAAGAGACCAAACAGAAAGCAGCAGAACAAGGTCAGAGTTCATGTGTCTGTCTGTGAGTCACGCTTTCATTACATCTTCAAACCTCTCTTAAGTAAATGTCATAATTTCATTAAGTTGCAGGGCTAGCATTGGGCTGAAACAGACTCAGGACTGTGGCTTGAATGCGTGTACTGTAATATGTTAATTAATTCCACAGAAAACCCTGCACTTGAGAAGCAGGACACCTTTGTGGAGAAACTTGTGACGCAGGTGATCAAGAACCTTCAAGTGAAGATCTCCAACATCCACGTCCGCTATGAGGATGATGTGTGTATTCTACCCAGTGTACTACAGTTGTACTACAACATTTTAAATGTGTATATTATTACTGTATTTCATTACTGTACCTTTCTCTCACTCTCAGGTCACGAACCCCAATTGCCCATTTTCATTTGGAGTGTCACTGCAGAACCTCAGCCTTCAGGTAACGTGTGTATTCACCCCTCCTCGTGAAATCTGTCATTCATTGTAGATATACAAGCTCAATTACAGTGGTTCGATTTAGTTAACGTCTGGATGTGAGATATGAGATGTCTTGGTTGTGGTCAGGTTTATGGTCTATTTCTGGTCTGACCCTGAAACCATATCACGTAACCTCTCAACCCCAAAACTACGTGACCCCACAGACTGCAGATGGGAACTGGATGCCTTGTCTCCTGGATGAGAAAGCCAAGCTGTTTTTCAAGGTAGTCAGTCCACAGCATTTGCTATACTGTACATTAGTTTTACATACATACATTATTACACTGTTATACTGTCAACAGCGTTCTAAGCTGTTTTCTGTTATGCTTTTTCCTCTCCTCAGCTCGTCCAGTTGGACAATCTCTTTGCTTACTGGAACGTGAACTCGATGCTGTACTCCAATCACATGCCAGATGAGGCCCTGGTGAGTCACTGTGCCATCATTCAGTGGCGTCACGGAGCGGTGGGTCCCTTAAGTGAGAGTGATTATGTCTATCTGTGACGTCTAACGAAGCATGTCTTCCTGTCTGTCGCATTTCCACAGCGATGCCTCCAGGACAGCATCCCGGGGGGTTCCACCCCCATGAACCATGATTTCAGTAAGTGTCACCCAGTCGATATAGGGGTGTGACATCATTCACGTCTGGATCAGAGTCTTGATAGTCATGTTGTCACCCACCTGATACATGGAATGAAATCTCACTCAGTGTAGTCATTGGAGTTTTTATTGTAATTCAAGATATCTTCTCATTATGAAGGCCCACGGTGGAATTGTTGTTTTAATTCGGTATCTTATTAATAACCTTATTTTCCTGTTCATTGCTGGCAGTTTTTCGTCCGATAACGGCTGATGCGAAGCTGCGCATGAACCCCCGGTCAGATGTGGACTTCTCCTCTCCCAAGGTGGACCTGGTGGTCAACCTAAGAGAGGTGGCTGTGGAGCTCAACAGACCACAGGTGATGGAGGGAGATATGAGAGCGAGAAAGATACATTTTCATCGAGCAAAAGAGCACCAATATGTACCATAAAAATCATTTCAATCTGCAGCCGGATTTAATTTGAAACATTTCTTCAACAATGTGCATAGTAAGGAGGGTGACTATTATATAACTACAGTGAAGTAAACTGATGCATGCCATTCACACAATCGGAACTCGCATTGGATTATATACCATCCCGTCTATTTGAAATGTTACAGTACGCTCATTACAACGCTAATTTTTTTGGCGTGATGAGCGTTGCCCAGAGTTAGAATTTCTACAAATTTAAATTATTGTTTCCCTCTCTGTGCTTCTCTGTTGCCATCTTCGTTGTCCCTTTGTTGACCCCTGAACTCTCACCCCTTCCTTCTCTCCAGTACATCAGCATTCTGGAGCTCCTGGGCTCAGTGGATATGATGTCACGCAACCTGCCCTACAGGAAATACCGTCCGCATGTCCACGTGCACACCAACGCCTCTCTATGGTCAGAGCTCACACTTTTCTTTTATTTACTTTTCTTTCTTCTACAAAAAATTATTTTGTCACAATGACAAAAATGTTGTTTATTGTTGATGTTTAGATGGTGAATGAGTGAATGCATTTAATTGATCATTGTGTTATGTTTTATGCCATCCAGTATAAGATTACTAGATACATTTTCCCAATCAATTGAGTTACCTTGATGTACACATACTGGTTCCGTAGTGACTGTGTCACTGCTTGTGTATGTCATCCAGGTGGCAGTATGTGATCACAGGCATCATGGAGGTGGACGTGAAGCCGCGGCTGCACATGTGGTCGTGGCAGCACATCCGCTGCCACCGGCAGACAGTCAAGCATTACAGAGAGCTCTACAAGGCCAAGATCACCAGCAAGAAGCCCACTGAGAAGCAGCTCAGGGAACTGGAGGTGTGTAGAGATCAGGGTGATTATTCATTAGGCACCAAATGGAAGAAAATGGACTAAAACAGGGAGGGACTACCTGGACTTGTCCAATAAGAAACACTCATTAACATTTTCCGTTTTGAAACCTTTTCTGTGACGTTCCCTAATGAGTGCGACCCAGACCTGAGTTCAAATAGTATTTGTTTTATTTTCAAAACTTGAGCAGTGCTTGATTGAGCCTGCCTGTCAGTAATGGGACCAATGGCATAGTCCTCAAAGTGCAAACCCTGCCCATCTGGCACACCGGGCAAAGTATTTGAAAGAAAACAAAATTCTATTTGAACCCAGGTGTGGTGGAGATTGAGAAGGACCTACTCCTCTCATGATCTGAGTTGCATCCCCAGTCTTTGTATCTACTTTGCTGCATTGATTGATGATGGACATTAAAGGTAGACTCAGCGATATGATGTAGATGCAGAAAGTAAACCGCATAGTGGGTCAATTTCTGTAACAACTAAGAGCGTTGAAGCGCGAAGCTCTTCTTCTCCACTGTTTTGGTCCCCTAGCTACCAAGCTGTAACAGCGTGAAGCGAACCCGTGCACACAGATACTGTGTGTGACTGTGAGAGCGAAGTCTTGCATCGCGCTCATCTCAATATCTGCTGTGCTGTTCGTGGCAATGTCATTTTGCTGAGTCTACCTTTAAGTAATTGATGAAGTAATTGATGGATTCCCATAACGGTCCGGGAACTGTTTTAATGTGCCCAGGAGCCTGAGCGGACTCTGGATATTTTTAACATCACACTGGCCAGGCAGCAAGCTGAGATGGAGGTACGGATTGAGCAATCTGTTGAATTATCCCTAACAAACTATCCATCTTCTCTGTATGTACTGTACTCTGTTTTGTCTGTCTACCAACTAATTTGTTCAAAGTGACAGAAAAGCATGACTGAAATGATCCTACTCAGTCACACTGCCATAGCGTAACCACCAGTGCATCACCTGGTCAGTGGTCACAGTCTAACTAACAGTGGTTCTAGCTAGTGGTTGTGGCTGAGGCGTTATGTGTAGACTGTGACTGGCACTGGTTGGTTGTTCCAGGCGAGCAAAGCGGGTCTGCGTATCTTCCGTCCGGGGGTGAAGGTGGAGGAGGAGGAATCTCAGGGCTGGTTGGGCTGGATGTGGTCCGGCTGGTCAGGAGATGGTGGCGCCGAGGCCAAGGAGGTCAAGACCGGAGGTGAGACCGCCCGCAAAGCCAATCACCATGCTCAATTTTGTACATACAGTGCCTTGAGAAAGTATTAACACCCCTTGACTTTTTCCACATTTTGTTACAGCCTGAATTTAAAATTGAATAAATGTAGATTTCTTTGGGTCACTGGCCTACACACACTACCTCATAATGTCAAAGTGGAATTATGTTTAAATGTTTTTTTACAAAATGAAAAGCTTGAATGTCTTGGGTCAATATGTATTCATCCACTTTATTATGGCAAGCCTAAATAAGTTCAGGAGTAAAATTGTGCTTAACAAGTCACATAAGTTGCATGGCGACACTCTGTGTGCAACAATAGTGTTTAACATGATTTTTGAATGACTACCTCATCTCTGTACCCCACACATACAATTATCTGTAAGGTCCCTCAGTCGAGCAGTGAATTTCAAACACACATTCTACCACAAAGACCAGGGAGGTTTTCCAAAGCCTCACAAAAAGGGCACATATTGGTAGATGGGTAAAAAAAAAAAAAAGCAGACTTTGAATATCCCTTTGAGCATGGTGAAGTTATTAATTACACTTTGGATGGTGTATCAATACACCCAGTCACTACAAAGATAGAGGCGTCCTTCCTAACTCAGTTGCCGGAGAGGAAGGAAACCGCTCAGGGATTTCACCATGAGGCCAATGGTAACTTTAAAACAGTTACAGAGTTGAATGGCTGTGATAGGAGAAAAGTGAGGATGGATCAACAACATTGTTGGTACTCCACGATACTAACCTAATTGACAGAGTGAAAATAAGGAAGCCTGTACAGAATACAAATATTCCAAAACATGCATCCTGTTTGCAACAAGGCACTAAAGTAATACTGCAAAAAATGTGGCAAAGCAATTTACTTTTTGTCCTGAATACAAAGTGTTATGTTTGGGGCAAATCCAATGCAACATATTACTGAGTACCACTCTCCATATTTTCAAGCATAGTGGTGGTTGCATCATGTTATAGGTATGCTTGTAATTGTTAAGGACTGAGGAGTTTTTCAGGATAAAAAAGAAACTGAATGGGGCTAAGCACGGGCAAAATCCTAGAGAAAAACCTGGTTCAGTCTGCATTCCATCAAACACTAGGCCAAATCTACACTGAAGTTGCTTACCAAGAAGACAGTGAATGTTCTGGAGTGGCCGAGTTACAGTTTTGACTTAAATCTACTTGAAAAGCTATGGCATGACTTGAAAATGGTTGTCTAGCTAACATTTTGAAAATAATAATGGGCAAATGTTTCACAATCCAGGTGTGGAAAGCGCTTAGAGACTTACCCAGACAGACTCACAGCTGTAATCGCTGCTAAAGGTGCTTCTACAAAGTATTGACTCAGGGGTGTGAATACAGTACTTATGTAAATTAGGTATTTTTGTATTTCATGTTCATACAATATTCCAAAAGTATGTTTTCATTTAGTCATTATGGGGTATTGTGTGTAGTTGGGTGAGAGAAAACAAATCAATTGAATCCATTTTGAATTCAGGCTGAAACAAAACAATGTGGAATAAGTCAATGGGTATAAATACTTTTTGACGGCACTGTACCTTCATATTAAATTAGACATTACACATTTAATACAGGGTCACACTGTGACTAATACTGTGACTAATCAAAAATATGCGAAATATCTATTATTGCCAGCATTCTGCCACAGCTGCAGTCTTTGTGGCTTGGCGCTTGCAAGCTTGAAGTAGGCCTTGGCTAGCTAAATGCCATTGTAGGCCTACCAAGTACAAACCTAGCTACAAAAGTAGTCAATGGCAAAACTAAGCTCTAGAAAAGACCCCATACTGATATTGAGGTGGGGAATTCCTGTAAATCTTCTGGGCTTAGACCTGGGCCTAGACCTTCAACGTCCATTGTCTAGGAGGCTGTCGCTCCTTACCGGGGAATCATCTGACACAGATGAAGCACGGTTGGAGTTTGGGCTGCATTAGCATATGCATTCTGAACCAACTGAACATTTATTTTTATTGGGAGAAATCCCCATGGGAGGAGAGTGTCAACAAATGAGATCAAACAAGTAGGCTACGAGGGCGTCAATGCTTAGTCATCTACAGCTCGCCTCTCTTTTTTTTTTGCAATCTACACACAATATCCCAAAATTACAGTGAAAATAGTTTTTTAAAAGTTTTTGCAAATGTATTAAAAATTAAAAACAGAAATACCTTATTTACGTAAGTGTAAAATACCCTTTGCTAGGAGACTTGAAATTGAGCTCCGGTGCATCCTGTTTCCATTGATCGTCCTTGATGTTTCTACAACTTGATTGGAGTCCACCTGTGGTAAATTCAATTGATTGGACATGATCTGGGAAAGGACACACCTGTCTATATACAGTGAGGGAAAAAAGTATTTGATCCCCTGCTGATTTTGTACGTTTGCCAACTGACAAAGAAATGATCATTCTATAATTTTAATGGTAGGTTTATTTGAACAGTGAGAGAAAAAACGTATGTCAAAAACGTTATAAATTGATTTGCATTTTAATTAGGGAAGTAAGTATTTGACCCCCTCTCAATCAGAAAGATTTCTGGCTCCCAGGTGTCTTTTATACAGGTAACGAGCTGAGATTAGGAGCACAGTCTTAAAGGGAGTGCTCCTAATCTCAGTTTGTTTCCTGTATAAAAGACACCTGTCCACAGAAGCAATCAATCAATCAGATTCCAAACTCTCCACCATGGCCAAGACCAAAGAGCTCTCCAAGGATGTCAGGGACAAGATTGTAGACCTACACAAGGCTGGAATGGGCTACAAGACCATCGCCAAGCAGCTTGGTGAGAAGGTGACAACAGTTGGTGCGATTATTCGCAAATGGAAAAAACACAAAATAACTGTCAATCTCCTTCGGCCTGGGGCTCCATGCAAGATCTCATCTCGTGGAGTTGCAATGATCATTAGAACGGTGAGGAATCAGCCCAGAACTACACGGGAGGATCTTGTCAATGATCTCAAGGCAGCTGGGACCATAGTCACCAAGAAAACAATTGGTAACACACTACACCGTGAAGGACTGAAATCCTGCAGCGCCCGCAAGGTCCCCCTGCTCAAGAAAGCACATATACAGGCCCGTCTGAAGTTTGCCAATGAACATCTGAATGATTCAGAGGAGAACTGGGTGAAAGTGTTGTGGTCAGATGAGACCAAAATCGAGCTCTTTGGCATCAACTCAACTCGCCGTGTTTGGAGGAGGAGGAATGCTGCCTATGACCCCAAGAACACCATCCCCACTGTCAAACATGGAGGTGGAAACATTATGCTTTGGGGGGTTTTTTCTGCTAAGGGGACAAGACAACTTCACCGCGTCAAAGGGACGATGGACGGGGCCATGTACCGTCAAATCTTTGGTGAGAACCTCCTTCCCTCAGCCAGGGCATTGAAAATGGGTCGTGGGTGGGTATTCCAGCATGACAATGACCCAAAACACACAGCCAAGGCAACAAAGGAGTGTCTCAAGAAGAAGCACATTAAGGTCCTGGAGTGGCCTAGCCAGTCTCCAGACCTTAATCCCATAGACAATCTGTGGAGGGAGCTGAAGGTTCGAGTTGCCAAACGTCAGCCTCAACCTTAATGATCTGCAAAGAGGAGTGGGACAAAATCCCTCCTGAGATGTGTGCAAAACCCAACTACAAGAAACGTCTGACCTCTGTGATTGCCAACAAGGGTTTTGCCACCAAGTACTAAGTCATGTTTTGCAGAGGGGTCAAATACTTATTTCCCTCATTAAAATGCAAATCAATTTATAACATTTTTGACATGCGTTTTTCTGGATTTTTGTTGTTGTTATTCTGTCTCTCACTGTTCAAATAAACCTACCATTAAAATTATAGACTGATCATGTCTTTGTCAGTGGGCAAACGTACAAAATCAGCAGGGGATCAAATACTTTTTTCCCTCACTGTAAGGTCCCACAGTTGACAGTGCATGTCAGCGCAAAAACCAAACCATGAGGTCAAAGGAATTGTCCGTAGAGCTCTGAGACAGGATTGTGTCGAGGCACAAATCTGGGGAAGGGTACCAAAACATGTATGCAGCATTGAAGGTCCCCAAGAACACAGTGGCCTCCATCATTCTTAAATGGCAGAAATTTGGAACCACCAAGACTCTTTCTAGAGCTGGCCACCCGGCCAAACTGAGCAATCGAGGGAGAAGGGCCGGAGCAAAGTACAGATGAACGGAGCAAAGCACAGAGAGATCCTTGATGAAAACCTACTCCAGAGCGCTCAGGACCTCAGACTGGGGCGACTGTTCACCTTACAACAGGACAACGACCCTAAGCACACAGCCAAGACAATGCAGGAGTGGCTTCGGGACATGTTTCTGAATGTCCTTGAGTGGCACAGCCAGAGCCCGGACTTGAACCTGATTGAACATCTCTGGAGAGACCTGAAAATAGCTGTGCAGCGACGCTCCCCATCCAACCTGACAGAGCTTGAGAGGATCTGCAGAGAAGAATAGGAGAAACTCCCCAAATACAGGTGTGCCAGGCTTGTAGCGTCATACTCAAGGAGACTTGAGGTTGTAATCGCTGCCAAAGGTGCTTCAACAAAGTATTGAGTAAAGGGACTGAATACTTATGTAAATGTGATATTTAAGTAAAGCAACATTTCTAAACCTGTTTTTGCTTTGTCATTATGGGGTATTGTGTGTAGATAGATGAGGAAATGTTTTATTTAATACATTTTAGAATAAGGCTGTAACGTAAGAAAATGTGGATAAAGTCAAGGGGTCTGAATACTTTTCGAATGCACTGTATACCCTCTATGATAATGCAAAGGCCACCGTGCCAATCATTCAGCTGGTTTACTGTGTGTCATGAGCATGCCAATGCGCCGCAGTTGACATGTTGATTGTTGGCTCTGCACTCTTACTATTTTGATGAACAGTGTTCTTTAATCCTGGTCCTGGGGAACCATGGGGTGTGTAACTAGGGCTGACACAATTACTGTGTAACCGACAGTTATGGATGAAGACCGTCATGAAAATAAAATAACCGTTAAACTAAATTAGTTGAGTCAATGGTGTTGATGCTGGGCTGGAGATAAAAACCTGCACACCCTGTGGGTCTCCAGGACCAGCATTAAAGAACACTGGACAAAATTATTTCCAAATGGGCATTAAACCTGTCCTGTCCCACCCTATGAATTATGAAGTATTGAATCATGTTGATGACAAGGTGCTCATGATGGTTTTAGACCAATGATGTTCATGTATATCTGTAGCGTTTCCACCGCCATTTCTCAAATAATGTATTTTACAGACACAAAAAGAACTGTCGAGATTGCGTAATTCAAATCTGGTATTGGAATAAGAATCAAGAGATCTTCAATCCAAGCTTAATTTATTATATGCAAAATGTATTGTATGATAAGTATGAAAGTTCGTATACGGGCTCACTGTCAAACCACGCAGGGCCGACAGAGAACTAGAATTATTGTTTACAGAAATTTCTCAAGTACTCTTCTGTTGGCCAACCAGAGCAAAGGACTGAGTGTGGTTCAGCCAATCCGTTGGCGCAGGGGTGGGCCCAACTCCTCGGCACTCCATTTGTTACTAGACATGGTTGCTATGATAACCTGCGGAGCCAGCACCGAGAATACACAATATCCACTGTATCCAGGTTCAAGGACAGTTTCACAGAATACAAAGAGGCAGTGAGGTCTAGTACTTTGAGACACAAGTTCTTATCTCCCCCTACTCCCTAAAACAGCTCCTCACATTAATCACAGCAGCACAGCACAAACCCTTCACGCCTAATCATCAATGCATTCCTTCCAAGGTAGTCATCTCATACAGATCCAATTATGAGAAAAATAAAACCCAACAGAACCCACCCACCATGTCGCACGAACAAATTATCTGTCGGCATTTATAAACTTGTACCGAAACGTCCTGTTTCCATCACAGCTGTCGTGATTTTTTTTTTAATACAGATTGAACTGTGCACTTGGAACTGCATTTTGCACTCTGTACTACCTTTTGTAAAGTTAATTTGAAATGATCTTGATAAGGTGCACCTGATGTTTTAATGTTATTGTTAATCATGTTGTAAAGCATAATGCCGTTTTTTTTTGGTCTTCTAATTCTCCTCAGCTTTTGACGAGTTTATGACTTCTGCTGAGAAGGCCAAACTCTACACTGCCATCGGCTACAGTGAGATTGCTGTCAATCATAATCTGCCAAAGAACGTGAGTTGCTACTGCATATTCCCACACACTGTAGTGCAGTACCACAGTCCCTGGCGTCTTCCAAACGAGATAAAGATAATCTAGGACACTGTTCAGTCTCCCTTTCTCTCTGATCTTGTTTGTGCAGTTTGAGGACATGAAGATTAATTTCCACATGGAGAGGATGTCTGTCTCAATGAAAGACAACAAGGACCAGAATGAAATCCTCAAACTAACAGTTGAAGATCTGAAATCCATGCTGACCCAGAGGCCTGGAGCACAAGCAATTAAGTAAGTACAATATGGGGTGTGTTCCCTAAGGTGAAACGTTCAGAACGTTGCAGATAGAAATGAATAGAACTGACATGATGCCCAATTCTACATGACAGAATATCATATCTGCCGTAGCGGTAAACCTGTACGCTTCCGAACAGACCCTGCATTTAAATACTTCCCCTTCCTTCCCTGCTCTGTTTTAGTTCTTTATCAATGGGATGCACTATAGTTGCCTTTTTTTTTGTGCCACCATTTTGCGATTCTCGGTTTGCCAGTATCTCTTTTTCTTTCTCTCTCTCTCTGCTTTTCCCTCCTCTCTCTTCCTCTGCCTCCTCCACTCTCACCCCCCTTCTTTCTGCCCTTGGTTCTGATGCTCTTGTTGCTGCTGCTCTCAGGCTGTCGGCCCAGCTCAGTCTGTTTGAGGTGACAGGACTAGCCAATAACCGTCCAGCACCCACGTTGCTGTCGTCAAGGAAGGCTGCCACGGTAACGGGGACCCCCCTGTTGGACATCCTGTTTGAGACCAACCCTCTAGACGAGAGCGCTGACCAGCGGCTCCGCGTCGAATCCCAGCCTCTGGAGATAATCTATGATGCTGTGAGTGTGTGTTTGTTTGTGCATTTTTGTGCGCGTGTGTCCTGTGTACATAATTGTATTCCAGTCGTTCCTCGGTTCAATCAGGCATGTAGTTGTTAGAACGAAAGTCCGCACCACCTGTTTTTGTGCGTGTGTGTAACAACATGGATACCTGTCTCTCTCTCCGGCAGGTGACGGTGAACAGCATGAGTGCGTTCTTCTCGCCACCTGATGACCTCCAGCTAGACGATCTGACCAACGCCACTCTCATGAAGCTGGAGCAGTTCAGAGACCGCACCTCCACAGGTCAGAGCCCCGCCTCTAGCTCTGACTGACAGGCCACACTCACGTTCCTGGCTTTTCACAAGAAACACAGTACTGATAGATTTTTGACATGTGCTGCAGACCCAAACATCTATTCTAATTTACCTTCTATGGACATTTACTCTGATTCATCAGACAGGATACAAGCCGTTGACCTCAATCTCCACTCCATACTTCCTTCTGGCACACACACACACCTTCCCTTTCATATCCATATGTAAGAACATGTTGAAGTATAACAACCATTCTATGTTGTTGTCTGAAGGGCTGATGTACGTGATTGAGACCCAAAAGGTTCTGGATCTGAACATCAACCTCATGGCCTCCTACGTGATCGTGCCCCAAACCGGCTTCTACGACTCCACCCAGAACCTCATGCTATTGGACCTGGGTCACTTCAAGGTAAGTCACTTCAATGTGCGCAGCATGCGCGTTTGTGTAGAGAGAGCGGTCGGATCGGACTTGAGTGAGTGAGAGACGGAGGAAAGAGACGATATATGGAGTAGTTGATAATTATGATTGATCACACCACACTTGGCTGGGTTTTTGTTTTGAATCACTAAAGTCAAATGAAAAATGGAACAGTAGAGGTAACACATTAACAAAATTTGACTTGCCAAATAGGGCAACCACAGTGAAGGATCCACTTGCCTGACTGTTTTAATTTACTTGCCCCAGGCAACCGTTTAATGTAAATCCCTGCCTAATGAACAGGACCTCACCCAGGTGTTATGGCATCGTCTTGTGTTATCAGGTGTCTAGTCTGAGCAGAGAAGGGCTGCCACAGCTCTCTGTAGGGAGAAGTACTATAGAGGACATTATGTCCCGAGCCTACGACCGCTTTGACGTCCAGCTCAGCAGCCTACAGTTCCTCTACAGCAAACCAGGTACACACACAGACGGACGAAGGCACACACACGCAAACTCGCGTATGGAGACACACACACAATTATCTAAACGTTTATTGCCCAAAATGTCATGTGACGCAACTACGCAGGGAATCATTTTGTGTAGCTTATTGTGTTCTTGCGTTGCGTACTTAGGTAGACTATACATGAGGCTTAACCGTGCCAGTGGTTGTTGTGTTGTGTTAGACGGGGACTGGAAGAAAGCCCGTAAGCTGAGGCAGTCGGCCCTCCACATCCTGGAGCCTGTCGACGTCAAGGTGGTGTTCAGCCGAGCCATGGTGGTCACAGATTCACGCATGCCCAAGTAAGAGGGGAAAAGGGGTGTGTGGGTTGGTGTGTGGGTGTGATGGACAGTCAGCCACTGTGTAATGATGTTTGTCAAATAGCTGGTCAGATGAATAAAGTGTGTGTGTCAGGTTTAAAATCTCCGGGGAGCTGCCTCTCCTGTCTCTGAGGATCTCTGATGATAAGGTACGGGGTGTGCTGGAGCTGATCGACAGCATCCCGCTGCCGGAGAGCAGGCCGGCCCCGCGCAGCACCAACATGTACTCTACATCGAAGGTACTAACTCTACTGGACCTCCATCTCTGCCTGTCTGTAGGTTGACTCTGTCTGCGATGTGTGTAGATAGATTTCAGTTGGGTTGGCTATGTGCGGCGTGTAATCTCTGCTTGTGTTTATGGTGCAGGCTCCAAAGCAGTCATACACCCCTCAGCTAACCCCCAGGAAACCAACCATGGCTGAACTGCGCAACTCCCTGATATGGGAATCAGGTGAGACATGTACGCACACACATACAGCCCTGTGTACACATTACAAATGGACGTCTGTACTTTTTACGAATACACACGACCGTGATCATGACAGACGTTGGTGTGGCATTTACGTTAGTGTGTGTGTGTGCAGGCTCAGAGGAGGATCTGTTCTACGATGCTCCCAGCTCTCCTATAGGAGACCGTCCGTTCTTCCCCGACAACATGCCCAGCCCTCTGCAGCGCTCCGACTCGGTCAAGAGGAGAGGTCTGGTCAAGAAAGACCCCAAGAAGAACATGACAGAGTTCCTCATGACGTTTGAGATCAGCAAAGTATGCTTAATCTCATCTACGTCTGTGTGCGTGTGTGAGAGAGTACCTAAACAGTTCATTTAGTTGCGTTCACTCTGATTGATAGTATAGGAGCGTGTGTGTGTGCATGCGTGAACTTGAACCCCATATCCCTTCTTTTTCTGCTGTCTAGCTGTCTGTTCAGCTGTGTCGTCTGTCTGGAGGCCAGGAGGTCACAGTGTTACACCTGGACATCGAGGGGCTGGGCACCGAGCTGAAGCTACGTACCTTCGACATGACATCCTACACATTCCTACGAGAGATCTGCCTAGAGTGCCCCGAGTACATGGGTAAGTGAGGAAATGGCTGTTAGAGCTGTCAACTGAGGCAGAAATTCACAATCGAAAGTATTTAAATCTAATTTGTATACATTTACATAATGTCGAAATGAGTGATATGCACCTTCACTACAGCCTTAGATATCCACACCAGCTCTGACATTAGGGGAGATGCCAGAAAAGGTAGTCAAACTTGAATGTGTCTGTTTTATGAAGATGTTCTTATATGCTATTGAAACCAGCATTTCTCTCCTATTCTATTGGTTTTCAAATGAACTTTATTTCATTGTCCACTGCATTCAAAGGCACTATTCTAGTAATGTTTGTTAGCAAACCATTGTAGTTGTTGCATCTTTAGATCACCCCTCTTTCTACGCTTTTACCATATATTTTCACCTGAAATCACTCTCATCTAGTTTGCTTTCAGAACTGTTTTTCCTGCGATTGCATTTTCTGAGCACTAGCAGAACGGCAGTGTGCGCCTTGCTGCGCTTGGACTGTGAAGACATTTGTGTATATACAGTGAGGGAAAAAAGTATTTGATCCCCTGCTGATTTTGTGCGTTTGCCCACTGACAAAGACATTATCAGTCTATAATTTTAATGGTAAGTTTATTTGAACAGTGAGAGACAGAATAACAATGATCTCAAGGCAGCTGGGACCATAGTCACCAAGAAAACAATTGGTAACACACTATGCCGTGAAGGACTGAAATCCTGCAGCGCCCGCAAGGTCCCCCTGCTCAAGAAAGCACATATACAGGCCCGTCTGAAGTTTGCCAATGAACATCTGAATGATTCAGAGGAGAACTGGGTGAAAGTGTTGTGGTCAGATGAGACCAAAATCGAGCTCTTTGGCATCAACTCAACTCGCCGTGTTTGGAGGAGGAGGAATGCTGCCTATGACCCCAAGAACACCATCCCCACCATCAAACATGGAGGTGGAAACATTATGCTTTGGGGGTGTTTTTCTGCTAAGGGGACAGGACAACTTCACTGCATCAAAGGGATGATGGACGGGGCCATGTACCGTCAAATCTTGGGTGAGAACCTCCTTCCCTCAGCCAGGGCATTGAAAATGGGTCGTGGATGGGTGTTCCAGCATGACAATGACTCAAAACACACGGCCAAGGCAACAAAGGAGTGGCTCAAGAAGAAGCACATTAAGGTCCTGGAGTGGCCTAGCCAGTCTCCAGACCTTAATCCCATAGAAAATCTGTGGAGGGAGCTGAAGGTTCGAGTTGCCAAACGTCAGCCTCGAAACCTTAATGACTTGGAGAAGACCTGCAAAGAGGAGTGGGACAAAATCCCTCCTGAGATGTGTGCAAACCTGGTGGCCAACTATAAGAAACGTCTGACCTCTGTGATTGCCAACAAGGGTTTTGCCACCAAATACTAAGTCATGTTTTGCAGAGGGGTCAAATACTTATTTCCCTCATTAAAATGCAAATCAATTTATAAAAATTTTTACATGCGTTTTTCTGGATTTTTTTGTTGTTATTCTGTCTCTCACTATTCAAATAAACCTACCATTAAAATTATAGACTGATCATGTCTTTGTCAGTGGGCAAACGTACAAAATCAGCAGGGGATCAAATACTTTTTTCCCTCACTGTATATCATAAGATAAATGTTGTTATATGTTGCATGGTTGTAGGTAGTTGTATGTGTGTGGCATGTCTGCAGACGTGTGTATGTGTGATATGATTTTCTGGTTTTGTATACTTGTCCAGATTCAGAGGAGAAGAAAGTGCACCTGATCACCACACTAGACAACACAGAGGATGATCTCCTCACATTGGAGTACACTAAGGTACACGCACACACACACACAGTGAACACTTCAACAGTCAACACTGTCTTCTTGCATTCTTCATCCAATGTAGATGAACAGTAGAGCTGGTCTAATAGCGCCAATGTCTCTTTCAGGCTGATAAGAATGGGCCAGAATTCAAGTCTGAGTACAAGAACACTGAACAATCAGTTAAGGTAATGTCTTGCAATACAGTACAATACAACTGTGTTAACCCACAGTTGGACCTTCAACATGATGTTGATTTGAGCTCACTACTCTGCTTAGGTGTATTAGTGTGTGTTCATAGTGGAAGTGGTATGTTTGTGTGTGATGTCTCAGGTGAACTTCTCGTCTCTGGACATACACCTGCACACGGAGGCCCTGCTCAATGCCATGAACTTCCTGATTAGTCTCCTCCCCCCGACCAAGGAGGCGGCGCCCAGCCAGGAGGAGCTGCCCACCATCCCCGAGGAGGACGAGGGAGAGGGGGAGGAAGGCGAGAAGAAGGAGGAATCGGCCGTGGCAAAAAAAACATGTAACTATCCGTTTCATGGAATCAATTCTGCTTACTGGAACTAAGACTTTTCCACTGTTGATATTGATTTACAATTTCATGATTCAAGGTAGTCGAAAGTGGAAGAGACATTGGTTAGGTAATATACCTTCTGTATATTTGTTGCATGTGGAGATATTTAGTAGACACGTATTCTCCTAATACGTAGTACATTTCCATGCCATTGTATGGACCACTTGACATTTGATGTATTATGAAGCACGAACAAAGTCATCTTCACAGCAAAGGTTCTTTTAAGTTTTGACGACAGAACAACTCTTTCATAAATGTCTCTCTGCTCCCTTCTCCTTAGCTTCTAAGAAGTCAAAGTTTGAGGACGTGGTGAATTTGCACATCAGAGCCGATCTCAACTGTCTGAAGGTTTTCATCCGAGGCCAGAGCCACAGGATAGCAGAGATCAGCATCGAGGGTAAGGGCCGCCTCACAGAAGACAATTCCCCACCTGCAACACACGTCCACAACAGAAGTCAACAGCTGCATGCATGAGTTATGATGACATTGCATCAAATATCAACATTTGGTGTGTTTGTGTGATGTGTTGACAGGACACTCCCACACCCATGAGCGCGCGCGCGCGCGCGCACACACACACACACACACACACACACACACACACACACACACACACACACACACACACACACGATAATGATCCTAGTGCCACCTTGTGGTACACATAATGAAGCAGATAGGCCACTGATGATCATGTCCAATTGGCTCTGGTACTGAAACACACCCGTCTATGTTCTAGAATTGTTCTACCCCTCCTCCTTCTGATGTTCTACCTGTTCTCTCTACCTCTGTTCTACGTTCCAGGCCTGGTGTCGGAGGTGCTGATGAGGAAAAAGGCGGTGGAGGTTCTGGCCAACCTGAAGAACATAGTCATCCTGGACTGTGATAAGGAGGCTTTGTACAAGCAGGTAGCCTCCAATACAGGGCGCTTACACACACCAAGACAGGGTCATGTTCATTAGGCAATAAATGGAGAAAAACAACACTAACAAACAGGGAGGGACTACCTGGACTTTTTCATGTTCGGTTTGAAATTGTTTAAAATCATTTTCCATTGCGAGCCCTCATGAATATCCAGCTGTCATTGACTAGCCATACCTGGGAAATACAAATCCAATATATCCTTAGATTTATTGTGTTTTTATTATTACTTTTTTTGTTATTTTCCCAGTCGAGGGGCAACATTCCCGAGAAGTTACGATTGTTGTTCCTTTTCGCTTTCTGCTGGTGTGCTTCTAATGTGTATTTCTGTATGGATTCTGCGTCCTAGTGTGTGTCCATAGCCGATAAGGAGGTGTTTGCTTTCCGCATGGTGAACCACACGGAAGCCACGGAGGGCGACGCTTATCTAGACATGCGTAAAGTGGACACCAGCATCACCCTGACGGTGGGCTGCATCCAGGTCATCTTCCTCAACAAGTTTGTCTCCTCCATCCTGGTAAGAGACACGCTGCCATCTTTCTTAACTCCACCTATCTATCTTTCACCTATACTCTCCTGTGTTTCAAAAAATGACGTTTTCCAGGGTATCGAGAACCAGTGCCTTTACTAATAACGGTACCAAAAATGCCCCAGAACCTACTGATCAGGATTGTCTTAAGTGCTATGACGATCCATGAGCACTTTGTAATATGACCAGACCACTCTCCTCCTCTTCCCCCTCCTCCCCCCCAGGCCTTCATCAACAACTTCCAGGTGGCCAAGGAGGCCCTGGCTGAGGTGACTGTGCAGGCAGCGGAGAAGGCGGCCACAGGGGTGATGGAGTTGGCTGAGCGCAGCACGCGCATCTCTCTGGACGTGGACTTCAACGCTCCTGTTGTCTTCCTGCCGCAGTCCTCCTCCTCCACCAACGTCATTGTGGCCGACCTTGGTATGGTCACGGTCAAGAACCGCTTCGCCATGGTCCCCTCCCAGATGCATGTCAAGATCCCTCCCATCATCGACACCATGACTGTGGGCCTCAGCGAACTCAAGATGTACAGGTGAGAGACAGTACAGCGTCGCTAGTAAGATACACTGGTAGTCGGGCCATTCTGTAGATGTACAAGGATGGGAATTAAACGTCATAGATGCAGTTGTTTAAAATGAAAGGACTACTTCATTTGTGCACAGGGATGGGACAATTGACATGTCTCTGTGTATTTCAGTTACTTTTGCATATTTGGTCCGTCCCCGGATGTGCAGCAAATCAGAACCTGTAAAGCTGTGTTTGTTTGTGTTTGATTGTCCAGAACCACCTTTGAGGAGGGGAGGTTTCAGGGGGAGATCCAGCTTCTGAAGCCGGTCAACCTGGACCTGTCCATCCAAAGGAACCTGTCAGCCTCCTGGTACCACAGCATCCCCGACATAGAGATCACTGCTCACCTCAAACCAATGAACGTGAGTGTTTGTTTCGGAGTGTTTGTGTCGGAGTATCTGTGTTAGTTAAAGCCAACTCTCAATTAACCAATGTTAGTCTGTGAAATTAAATGTTAGAATGAAATGTTGGTTGTTGATGCATCAGTGTAACGGTGTGTGTGTCTTACCAGCTGATCCTGAGTCAGGATGATATGACGGTGGTGTTGCGGACTCTGAGTGAGAACCTGTCAGAGACGTCAGACGCTGCTTCCCCCCCTCCTCCTCCACGTGTAGTGGACCGCTCCGACACGGCCTCTACCAAAGGCTCACAGGCGTCAGGAGGTACTGGTACTAACCCCACTAGCGGTGAGGACAGCAGTGTGTGTCAGTCTGGGTTGAATGTGTGTGTGTTGTGGTCGTGCGCGTGTTGTTGTGATTGTGATATTATTATAATTGTGTTGAACCCTGTCTGTAGGCAACACGGTGGTAACTGCTGCAGTGGTGGAGACCCAGAAGAGCACTAAGCTGAAGAGCACACTCAAACTTGACTTCAAGTTTGACTCCATGACCCTGGTCCTGTACAGCCCCAATTGGACTGAGGTGACTTCTGCACTACTACAGGCCTTCACAAACACTGTCATTAACCACATAAAACGCCATTCACTTGGATATTCTTACGCCCACAGACAGAGACTTTTTGGTGTGTGTGTGTGTCCAGGTGCAGGTGTTGGACTCGAGGGATGAGCAGCTGAAGCTGGCTGAGTTCACCTTGGGGACCATCTCTACATCTGTCCACATGTTCTCAGACGGATCTATGAAGGCCTCCGTCAAACTCACAGACTGCCTGCTAGACGACAAGAGATGCAGAGTCAAGAAGATCACTGCCAGGTAGAACACACACTCAGTTACCTCGGTACTGAGCCTACTTACACATTCACAAAAACTGGGAGAGATACCAGAGTTGTTTGTGTGTGTACTGTGAACATATGAGCGTGTGCCTCGGTGCTGGCGTTGATGTACGAGGCTCAGTATGTGTTCTTCAGCGTGGCATCATGTTCATCACGTCTTCACCATCTGCCTACTCACATAGGACTGTCACACAGCTAAGATGAATGGCTTTGGTTAGCAGCCCCATTATAGTCAAAGCAACTAAGTTCATCTCTCACTCCCAGTTCATCAAAACCCATGAGTATTGCCATCTGGGTAAGGATAAAGTATATGTCAATTGTTTTGAGAGAATGGAATCTTTAATCTGTAGAGTAGAACAGAAAGTTAGTCTCACTCTTCAATGTAACATCATTTGACAAACAGATTACAAGGTATTTAGTGCACTTATGTTAGGGTTTGTTGTTAGTGCCCTTGCTGTAGGGTTCATGTCCACCTGCCCCTCTGGCTCCTGTCTGTCAGGATGATGGCGATGCGTCCGGGTGCTGAGAGGAACGTGATGGTGGAGGTCAACTACAAGCAGGGGCGCGACGGCACCTCTTTGGACACGGTGGTGCAGGATGTGTACCTCTGTGCCAGCATGGAGTTCCTGCTCACTGTGGCCGACATCTTCCTCAAAGCCAGCCAGCAGGGCTTCTCCTCTGCCGCCCCCAAGAACAGCAGTAGCACTAAACCCACTGCTGCCGCAGCCTCCAAGGAGCCTGGTATGACACATTCACAATATTCACCACATATGTCATGTTCTTACAATGTGAAATGTTGGATTGGAGGAGTTCAGGTAGTTTCTGACGCTTTTCTACCATTTGATACCTAATGAACACGCCCCTGCTTTCCTCTGTGTCTGTAACACAGCTCCAGTGGGGGGGGTGGCCAAGTCAGAGATTAATGTTCTGGTGAAGAACCCCCAGATTGTGTTTGTGGCCGACCTGACACGTGCCGACGCCCCGGCCCTTGTCATGACCACGGAGTGCGAGCTGGTGATGAAGAGCGATCCGGACGGTCAGCTGATGACAGCGGTGGTCAAGGACCTGAAGGTGGTGGCCTGCCCCTTCCTGAAGGAGAAAAGGAACAAAGAGACCACTGTGCTGCATCCCTGCCAGGTGTTCTTCAAGAGCACACAGTCCTCCACCTCCCCGCAGGCTATGGAGGTCTGCATCAACGCACTCACGCTCAAGGTAGGCCACGGCCAAAAACAAAACTGACAGGAAGCAGCGTCTCACTAATGAAATACCTGTTAGGAGCATATCAGTTTGGTCGTAGACCTTATTGTCACTTTTTCCTATGTTCCTATTTCTAGCCCAGCTACCAAAACCAGAGTGATGTGCCTGACGTTCAATTCTTCTCTGTGCCCCCCCCCCCCCCAGGTGTCGCCCATCATTATCAACACAGTGATTACCATTCAGTCTGTGCTGAGCCCGGCCGGGGCCGAGACACCCCAGTCTGAGCTGGAGAGCCCCGTGCCCCCAGATCTGTGGGAGCGCCGGTCCTGGCGGGACCTCAAGCTGTGGTTCCTGGAGGAGGAGGGTAAAGATGAGGATGCCCAGTCCCTGGTCCCGTTGATTCCCCAGGGCGAGTCCCTGCAGGTGGCCATCAACTCCATCTGCCTGACCCTGGAGGCTGGGGTGGGCCACCGCACCATCCCCATGCTGCTGGCCAAGTCTTCCTTGCACGGTGACGTCAAGAACTGGAGCACCCTCATCAACCTGCACAGCCAGCTCAACCTGGAGGTCAGACACTGCACATCTCTATACAATATCTGCACAACCACTACACATCCCTTTACACAACCCTCTACACAACATCTACATGACCTTTACAGAACCCTTTACACAACATCTACATGACCTTTACACAACCTTTACACAACATCTACACAGCCTTTACACAACAACTACAAAACCTCAATTCAACCAAAACATGGGTTTAGTCAGACTGCATTTAGTGTACGGTAACATAGTGTTGTGTGTTTAGGTTCACTACTTCAACGAGGTGATGGGGGTGTGGGAGCCTTTGCTGGAGCCCCTAGAAGACGAGACCCGAGACGGCTTCAGACCCTGGACCCTGGGATTAAAGGTGACCCTTATAAAATATCTTATACACACACTGTCCCATGTTCCACAGACATCCCTCATACATATAGTGTAAATACACTAACCACCACACACACGTAACGGCTATGCGTTCCCCTGAACTACAGATGAAGAAGAAGCCAGTGAAGTACACAGGTATATCAGAAGAAGTGGACTACAGCATCCCTGACTACAAGACCGTCATCAGCATCAGCAGCAAGGACCAGCTTAACATCACCCTCTCCAAGTGTGGACTGGGCATGCTCAGTAACCTGGGCACGGTAAGTCAATGACGTCACACACCAGCACTCTTGTACATGCTGTTCTATTGTCTAGCTGAAAAGATGGCTACCTTTTTATTTAAGTGGGTTGTTTTGAATAATGTGAAGGAATAGCTTGCCTTGTTGTATTGAAAAGCGCTCTATAAAAGGCCTTTTTGGGGGGGGAACGTGTGTGTGTGTTTTTGTGTCTGTGTTTGTGTGTGTGACAGGCCTTTGCAGAGGCGGCCAAGCAGGCATCGGATAGTTTCCAGAAGGACGAGGCTCCGTTCGTGGTGAAGAACCGTCTGGGTCTGACGGTGTCGGTGGTGCACAGTGAGCTGTTCTGCCCCCTGGGTCGCGAGGCCACAGAGCGCCGGGTAGAGCTGCAGAATGGAGAGAGCCTCAACATGGACTACCTCCGCACCACCACCCACTCAGACCAGTTCTCTGCCATGACCTCACTGGTCGCCAAGGACTACTACATACAACCCAGTAAGCAACACAGTTCCAACCGTTACACCAGTGCAGACCAGCGTCTGTATTCATTGGACTGCTGATCTAGTTTTGCTTTTCATATCCTAATGAATAAGATGATATGGACAGGATGGATCTGAACCTCGATCAGCACTCCTGCTCGGAGACGCTTCATACATACGACGTCAGATATCAAACCCTAGGTCCAAGACCGTGTTAGGGTTCTGACCTAATACCCAGGCGTTAGTTTGGGGAGCTAACAGAAGTCAGTAGTCGTGGCTCGGGTTACTTTAGTCATTGATCGCTCAGTTTTCTATGTTCTTGTCCTCAGCTCCGGTCGGCCACACTTCAACAGGCGTGATTCCGTTGATCAAAGTGGGGCGTGGCATGTACAGTGTCATGCACAAAGACTCTGGGGTCACCCGTTTCCTGGTCTGTCAGATCTACTCTGTGGAGGGAAGCAAGTACATCAAGATCCGCTCTCCCTTCCAGGCAAGTTAGTCACCCACCCACCTCTACTCCAACTCACACCCAAGAAGGCTGACTGTTCTCAGACTGACTAATACAGATGTCACCCAAATACTCATTTACTCCCGTCATTCATCTCTATCTCCATTCTCTCTCCACCTTTACTTTCTCTTGTCTGTACTTAACTTGACCCCAGAATGTGTTAAATTATCTGACCAGAGAATGTATTTTCTATCTGAAGAATTTCTCATGTCTCCCCTACAGATCATAAACCACTTCTCCATCCCGTTCAGAGTGATGGAGGGCACCACATGTCTGGGGATCTCACTGCCTACAGAGGAGTTCTGTGTGCCTCTGGACTCTTACAGGTGACACGCACACAAACGGAGACGCGCACACACACACACACACACACACACACACACACACACACACCCACAGATACAGACACTGACTGTGCTGAACCCCCCCCCCCGTAGGTCAGAGCTAAGACTGCAGCCGGTAACCGAGGGAGACGATCAGTACGACTGCTCCGAGGGTTTCAGCTACGAGTTGGTGAGCCAGCAGCCCGGTGCACGTGTGCAGCAGACCTGCCATTGCCATGGCGACAGCACTGGCGTGCTCATGGTCAACATAGTCCCTCTGAAAGACACGGTGACATCACAACACACGGGAGTGGCCGGGGAGCACTTTGACGAGCCCTACATCCTGCACCTGTGGCCCTCCGTCCTGCTCCGGAACCTTCTGCCTTACCCCATCACCTATCGCCTACAGGTACACACACACACACACACACACACACACACGGAGATCAGTGGCTATTACACACATTACTCCATCCCTACGCACCAGCATAGAAATGGACCTACAGCTCATCTATTATATTTCCTCAGAACTTCCCCATCACATGACATGCCTATTATTGATCACTGATTTGGTATTGTGTGTTGATTGGCTGACAGGACAGTGAAGATCCCTCCCCCATCACCCTGATGGACGGCCACTCGGCCCAGCTGCACACAGCCATCATGGACCGGTCCAGCCTGGAACTCCGCCTCCTCGACTACCTGGGGCAGGATTGGCAGGCCCACTACGGTCTTCGTGGCGACCTGGACGAGATCACTTTCATTGTGTTCAGCTCCCTACGCGATGAAGAGGAGGCGGTCAGGTTAGGAGAGGGGGGAGAAGGGAAGAGAGCAGAGCTGGACATTGCGGTGCATGTGAAGTACGACGCGGGCCAGACTGAGGTGGCCATCCATTCTCCCTACTGGATGGTGAACAAGACGGGCCGCCTGCTGCAATACAAGGCCGACGACATCCACCGCAAACACGCCATGGACTACGACATGCCCCTGCTCTTCTCCTTCAAGCCACACAACTTTCTGCAGAACAACAAGGTAGTGGGGTGGGGATCAACTTTGGTCCAAGCTTAAACCAAGTAGCGGGGCTGCTATTTTGTTTGGAGGGTTTTAAACAAGGAGTGGGCTTTTAAGTGATAACTCCTAACCCCTACTGTTTGTCTCCCTGACATCTGACCTTATTCTCTCCCCGGGTCAGGTGCGGCTGATGATCTCGGACAGCGAGCTGTCGGATGATTTCTCCCTGGACACCGTGGGTAGTTATGGTGAAGTAAAGTGTAAAGGGAGGCTCAAAGATTACGTGGTGAGTGGTGGATCAAACACTCCTGCAGAATAATACTGTCAGTTGATGTTTACCTTTCAGATTGGTCATTGAGTGTCATTTGCTGAACATTGAATAGTCAATAGATAGATGGGTGGATTGATTCAGGTTGATTGTGGCTTTCTATGGTTTGATTGAAGGTCGGTGTGAAGATCGACGCCAGCAGTTTCAGCCTGACCCGTATCGTAAGCTTTGTGCCGTACTACCTGTTAGTGAACAGGACCAAACATGTGATCTGGGTGGGAGAGGAGGGCCAGGACGACTGGACCGAGGCCAGACCACAACAGGTACCACAACTAGAGCTACTTACAACCCCCAGTGCAATTCAGTCCATTCAGGAAGTGCAATGAAAAGTGCTGATAGTAAAAATGTGTTAGAATCATGGATTGAATATCAGTTAATTTACTGATTTGACTGAATTTTGAAATAGGAATAATGGAGCCCTACCCTGCATAGAGTAGCACATGCATGTAGTGAAACTGACACCTCTCTGTCTTTGTCTGTCTGTCTCTCTCCTTCTCCTCTCTCCTTTTCTGTGCTACTCAGGCAGCCATCCCGTTTTGGCCCGAGAGGGACTCCAAGAAGCTCAAAGTCAAAGTAGAAGGCAGTCGGTCAACTCCTCAAACCATGGACTTCACCAAACCGGAAAACTGCCTGCTGCTGCACCTGGACAACACTGTGAGTAGTTTACAGACATACGTGAGTACCGCCTGAGTTTGCAATACTACTGTATAAGCTGATGCTTTGTGGTGATAAATCAATTTCTCACATTGGGTTCAATAAAGTACTAGTACTTCTGTTTTTCATTTGGCTTTACTCTTGTATATTCCAGCTGGGCGGGGTCATTGTGGATGTGAACCTATCAGACCACTCAATTGTCATCCGTTTTTCTGACTATCACGACGGGGCCGCCCCCTTCCTCATCATCAACCACACCCAGGAGCAGACGGTGGAGTTCTACCAGAGGTAAAGGAGAGATGGGAGGAGGGGAAGGATGGGGAGGGAGAAAGGTAATGGGGCAATAAGCAGAAAAGTGTTTAATTATATAGGTCACATTTTACTATTCTCAAAACAGGCGCAATGCTATAAAATAAAACCTGTATTCGTTGCGTCTTAAATTTGTGATGTCTCAAATCTTTCCTTTTAGAAATGTCCATGAGATGGTGGATCTTTATGGGGATATAAGGAAACAGTACAGAATAAGTGTTACACGCTGTACTATTCCAAATTAGTTTTTGAATGAAACCTGCATGTTATACACTGCTCAAAAAAATAAAGGGAACACTTAAACAACACAATGTAACTCCAAGTCAATCACACTTCTGTGAAATCAAAACTGTCCACTTAGGAAGCAACACTGATTGACAATACATTTCACATGCTGTTGTGCAAATGGAATAGACAACAGGTGGAAATTATAGGCAATTAGCAAGACACCCCCAATAAAGAAGTGGTTCTGCAGGTGGTGACCACAGACCACTTCTCAGTTCCTATGCTTCCTGGCTGATGTTTTGGTCACTTTTGAATGCTGGCGGTGCTTTCACTCTAGTGGTAGCATGAGACGGAGTCTACAACCCACACAAGTGGCTCAGGTAGTGCAGCTCATCCAGGATGGCACATCAATGCGAGCTGTGGCAAGAAGGTTTGCTGTGTCTGTCAGCGTAGTGTCCAGAGCATGGAGGCGCTACCAGGAGACAGGCCAGTACATCAGGAGACGTGGAGGAGGCCGTAGGAGGGCAACAACCCAGCAGCAGGACCGCTACCTCCGCCTTTGTGCAAGGAGGAGCAGGAGGAGCACTGCCAGAGCCCTGCAAAATGACCTCCAGCAGGCCACAAATGTGCATGTGTCTGCTCAAACGGTCAGAAACAGACTCCATGAGGGTGGTATGAGGGCCCGACGTCCACAGGTGGGGGTTGTGCTTACAGCCCAACACCGTGCAGGACGTTTGGCATTTGCCAGAGAACACCAAGATTGGCAAATTCGCCACTGGCGCCCTGTGCTCTTCACAGATGAAAGCAGGTTCACACTGAGCACATGTGACAGACGTGACAGAGTCTGGAGACGCCGTGGAGAACGTTCTGCTGCCTGCAACATCCTCCAGCATGACCGGTTTGGCGGTGGGTCAGTCATGGTGTGGGGTGGCATTTCTTTGGGGGGCCGCACAGCCCTCCATGTGCTCGCCAGAGGTAGCCTGACTGCCATTAGGTACCGAGATGAGATCCTCAGACCCCTTGTGAGACCATATGCTGGTGCCGTTGGCCCTGGGTTCCTCCTAATGCAAGACAATGCTAGACCTCATGTGGCTGGAGTGTGTCAGCAGTTCCTGCAAGTGGAAGGCATTGATGCTATGGACTGGCCCGCCCGTTCCCCAGACCTGAATCCAATTGAGCACATCTGGGACATCATGTCTCGCTCCATCCACCAACGCCACGTTGCACCACAGACTGTCCAGGAGTTGGCGGATGCTGTTTTCCAGGTCTGGGAGGAGATCCCTCATGAGACCATCCGCCACCTCATCAGGAGCATGCCCAGGCGTTGTAGGGAGGTCATACAGGCACATGGAGGCCACACACACTACTGAGCCTCATTTTGACTTGTTTTAAGGACATTACATCAAAGTTGGATCAGCCTGTAGTGTGGTTTTCCACTTTAATTTTGAGGGTGACTCCAAATCCAGACCTCCATGGGTTGATAAATTTGATTTCCATTGATAATTCTTGTGTGATTTTGTTGTCAGCACATTCAACTATGTAAAGAAAAAAGTATTTAATAAGATTATTTCATTCTAGGATGTGTTGTTTAAGTGTTCCCTTAATTTTTTTGAGCAGTGTATATTCATTTTTTTGCAAACTTCCCAGGATGTGCTGCATGTATTTGTTTTGATACAGGGTATTCGTATTCTTGGCTTTTGTGTTGATGTAGGTTTGTCTGTGTTTACCCAGTTTGCATGGATTAATTTCCTTTTGTTTGTGACTTGTTGTGATGGACACTTCTTTTTTTCGATTTGTTTTTCAGTCAGAATTTTTTGTTAGTGACATGTTTTTTGTCTGACAGTTTGTGTTGGTTTGTTTTGATTTTTGTTTGGTTTAATATTTTCCCCCACACCTCTTGGCCGGGCAGATTTCGGAGAGATTCATCAGAATGGGTGGCAGACGAGCTGCTCGACCTCTCCTTCTCAGTAGAGGAGACCCAGCGCAGGTAGCAGGACCTGGCCCCACGAGGGCTCTTGCTCTCACCCACTCTGACCCTGACACAGAAAGGGTGGACATATTGGGGAACTTCAAATGCCTTCCCTAGCATACAATCACAATGACTAATGCAAAAGGCATGGTCCGTAGATCTCTATTTAAACATGCACACATTCAGTGGTGTTTGTGGTCTCTGTGTTCCCGTTTCATAGTTCAGTTGTGGTCAGAGTGTGGTCAGAGCTGGACCCCCAGGTAACAAAGGTGTAGGGGAAGAGCTTTTTTTTCATTTTGGTGTTGGAGACTGATCTGCTCCTTACATGCCATTCCACAAGGAAATGGATAATGTGCGTTTTATAAAAGCAGAAAAATATTGCATTACATTAATATCACTGTATACTTCAACAACCACGAGTCATCTGATTGATATTGACCAAACTACAGAAAGTGGCGTGATCAAGGAGGATCTCCGGCTTCAGTGTCATGACCGTTTGCCCTTTGACCTCCCCCTTAATTCCAGGTTGATTTGCTTTATAGTGGGAGTTAGTTTTGGCTGCTGCTGTTTGGATGGGACTCTGCCAATGGGATCTGACCTCTGCTTCAATATGCCTTCCATTTTCCCCATGCCTCCATTTCCATCGCACCCCATTCCCCCCCACCCCAACAGTCCTGCCAATCATTCTTCGTCTTCCTTTTTCCCTGTGTCTTCTGAAATAATGATGATTTTAATAATTCTTTATTTCTCTTTGATCAGGGGGGGGTTGATTTTATTTTGTTGGAGGAAGAACGACAACATGATCTCATGGGATAGTAGCCTCGACATCTCCATTAATGGGTCAGATTTCTTCTCTCCATTGTGTTGATTTGCAAATAGGCTCTTGGGTATCTGCGTTTCTTTCCATGGTGCCTGGGCTGTGTAACGGGGCTACGTTGTCATGACCATGGCTTTCTTTCTGACCGTCATCTATCTTGCTCTTGGTGGGGTTCTCGGGGTCTTGTGTGTGCGCTTTCTAACTCTGTGTGTGTGTGTGTGTGTGTGTGTGTGTGTGTGAGTAGTAGTCAGAAGGAGAAGGACAAGCTAAATCCCGGGATGGCAATGTACTACACCTGGGCTGAGCCCACTGGGTCACGCTGCCTGGCCTGGCAGTGTGGCAGCTACAGCGGCGAGCTGAAGAGCGAAGAGGTACTGTACCACAGCTTTCTATTTACTCCCACTCACCATTTCCACCACCGCTAGAGCAATGTTACATTCTCAAACATTTTGATTGATACTATGGATAAGTCTTTTTTATACCAGTGTTTCTTATTAGTTTGATGCACACTTGTATCGAGTACTTTAGACCAATATGACACACAGGTGTCAGGCTCAACCATAGTATCTCCTCAGGCTAATATGTAGGCTTATATTTAGACGTAGTTTACATCAGACTAATATGAAACACTGGTGTCAGACTTAACCATAGATTAGGATCTTCTGCTTAGTGTTTTAACAGAGCTGCTTAATATGGCTTAGTCCATCATTAAACACACACAAAGCTTTAATAAGATCATTATTAAGGCTCCGATCCTCCAAAGTCCGCCAGTGTATTTTCTTCCCCTTTATACTGGCTTGATGACCTGAGCAGTTAAAATATTAGAAGACTGGGTGCTTTGGCATGTTAGCCACAGTGGTGAGACAAAACACAAACAGTAGGATAACCAGAGATGTATATATTGTTGAAATCAAATAAACTGTGAAATGATAGCAACTGTTGTTGCCTGGACTCATTAGTTACCAAAAATCTAAATTAAAAGCTGATATGGTATATCATTTTGGTGTTGCAAAAGAGCAACTTAAAAGTGAAACGCTCCTTACTTCGCATCTCATGTGCACTTGATCCGTGTGTTTAGGACCTGCGGTTGGACGTGAACGAGGAGGGTAAGCTGTACCTCATCTCGTTCTACGAGGGCCTCCAGCGGGTGGCGCTGTTCACTGAGGACAGACGCATATACAAGCTGCTGTGTGAGAGTGAGAAGGCCGAGCTGGCCGAACAGGAGATCATCCTCTCCCTGCAAGACGTGGGCGTCTCCCTGGTCAACAACAGCAGCCGCCAGGAGGTGTCCTTCATCGGCATTACCAGGTATACACACACATACCAACACAGTATATACAGTCACTCAAAATGGTATGATTGTGCTACAGTTGACTGTACTTTGAGTGGGAACATGCTTTTCAAATTCAGTGCAGCATGTTCAGTGTGCTTTCCTCCTGTGTGTGTAGTTCAGATGTGGTGTGGGAGTCCAAGCCAAAGAAGAAGTCTCGCTGGAAACCCCTGAGTGGGAAAGATGCCGAGCTGCTGGAGACCCACTTCAAAGAGTACACAGAGAGTGGACCAGTGGACAACGCCATCTTAGACCTGGAGAACAACTTCCAGGTCAGACAGCAACTGGATATGCCTCTGTATGGTACCATGTATACCATACCACCCTCTTGATTACCAACCCCTTGAAAGCTGTACAAATTGTAGAGGTAGATGTTGTTCCCAGTTTTGCACAGCTCCAGTACAACCATTGTGTGTGTGTGCGCGTGTGTGCTAAGTCTAACTGTGTTATCAGGTGTCTCTGACGCCAAATGGGCAAGACATGAGGATGATACAGCCATATGACGCCCCAATCAGGAGGAGCTTCCTGCCAGGGGTGAAGGTGGAGTACAGCGTATCGGCCCGCCAGAGTGCCTACCGTGTCCAGATCAACCGCATACAGGTGGGTCCCAGAGAGTTGGAAAGTGTGCATTCTATCCAACTCTATGGTGGGTCCCCACCCGACCACCAACCATACGACAGATTTTTACATTGACTGTTTAGTCATTTTGCCAACCATTCAATTAAAATGATTTCATGCTGACCTATTGGAGACATGGTTGGAATGAATTATTTGAGTCCTTTGTTTTTCCACAGATCCAGAATCAGCTACCTGGAGCAATCTTCCCATATGTCTTCTACCCTATAAAACTACCCAAGTCTGTTACCATGGACTCAGGTCAGTCCCAAGCTCTGTCCAAGCCTCTCTGTGTTGTGCATTTACACTTGGGGTTTGAAATTATTGACACCCTTGATAAAGATGAGCAAAAATAAAATAATAATAATTCAAATACTTAACTATATTGTATGAGCCCAAACACTACTACAATTGCTCAGTTGACCTTAACAAAGGCCCCAGGACCAGTAGAAGCAAAACAGCCCCATAACATCAAAGATCCACCCCCATATCTTACCGTAGGTATTGGGTTCTTAACTGCTTATGCATCCACTGGTGTGCATGGCTAAAGAGTGCTATTTTCATGTCATCCATCAAATTTAAATGTCTGGAGTTTGCTAAACGGCATTGGCACTTGGATTGAAACCGGAGCTATGGTCAGATTACATGAAAATAGAGCTCTTTGGCCGTTCACACCAGTAGGGAGTTTAGCGTCTATAAGAATGCATAAAAATTAAATAACCCCATAACTACTGTAAAATATGGTGGTGGATCTTTGATGTTATGGGGCTATTTTGCTTCCACTGGTCCTGGGGCACATGTTAAGGTCAACGGCATTATGAACTTTACCCAGTACCAGGACATTTTAGCCAAAAACCTGGTGTCCTCTGCCAGGAAGCTGAAACTTGGCCGCAAGTGGATCTTCCAGCAAGACGATAACCCCAAACACAAAATCCACAAAGAAATGGTTAATTGACCACAAAGTCAACATTTTGCAACAGCCAGCTCAGTCTCCGGACTTGAATCCCATTGAGAAACTGTGGTTTGAATTAAAGAGGGCAGTCCAGAAGCGCAGATGAAGGATATCAAGGATCTGGAAAGATTCTGTAAAACATTTTAGGCTCAGTGCCATTAACCTCGCAAGGTGAGGTATTGAAAACAGGCTGTCAATCATTTCGACCCCTATCTTTTTAGTATTTTTTTTTTTTGTATTACTTGTTAAACAAAATCTATTTCTCTGAGCAATTGTATTAGTATAAAATAATATACTTTTTTTTTTGGAGCATACAATACATGCTCAGCATTTGAATTATTTTAGTCATTTTTGCTCATCTTTATCAAGGGTGTCAATAATTTCAGACCCCACTGTATATAGCTACATAGGCAAAAGGGGCAATTTGGGACGCACCCAGAGGCATTGTTAGACTGGAGTACTCTGGATTAACATATCGTGACGGGTATTCTGCTCCTCTCTCTCCTGTAGAGCCCAAACCTCTGACCGACATCAGCGTTGTTACCAGGGCAGCCGGGCACTCTGATATCTCACGCATCAAGTGAGTCCATCGCTATAGTTCACGTTCTTTCCATATCTCTCTCTCTCACACACACACACACTACCGGTCAAAAGTTTTAGAACACCTACTCATTCAAGGGTGTTTCTTTTATTTTTTACTATTTTCTACATTGTAGAATAATAGTGAAGACATCAAAACTACGAAATAACACATATGGAATCATGTAGTAACCAAAAAAGTGTTAAACAAATCAAAATATATTTTATATTTGAGATTCTTCAAATAGCCACCCTTTGCCTTGATGACCGCTTTGCACACTCTTGGCATTCTCTCAACCAGCTTCACCTGGAATGCTTTTCCAACAGTCTTGAAGGATTTCCCACATATGCTGAGCACTTGTTGGCTGCTTTTCCTTCACTCTGCGGTCCGACTCATCTCAAACCATCTCAATTTGGTTGAGGTCGGGAGATTGTGGAGTCCAGGTCATCTGATACAGCACTCAATCACTCTCCTTCTTGGTAAAATAGCCCTTACACAGCCTGGAGGTGTGTTGGGTCATTGTCCTGTTGAAAAACAAATGATAGTCCCGCTAAGCCCAAACCAGATGGGATGGCGTATCGCTGCAGAATGCTGTGGTAACCATGCTGGTTAAGTGTGCCTTGAATTCTAAATAAATCAGAGTGTCACCAGTGAAGCAGCCCCACACCATAACACCTCCTCCTCAATGCTTTACGGTGGGAGATACAAATGCAGAGATCATCTGTTCACCCACAACGCGTCTCACAAAGACACGGTTGGAACCAAAAATCTCAAATTTGGACTCCAGAACAACGGGCAAATTTCCACTGGTCTAATGTCCATTGCTCGCGTTTCTTGGCCCAAGCAGGTCTCTTTTTAGTAGTGGTTTCTTTGCAGCAATTCGACCATGAAGGCCTGATTCACACAGTCTCTGAACAGTTGATGTTGAGATGTGTCTGTTACTTGAACTCTGAAGCATTTATTTGGGCTGCAATTTCTGAGGCTGGTAAGTCTAATGAACTTATCCTCTGCAGCAGAGGTAACTCTGGGTCTTCCATTCCTGTGGCGGTCCTCATGAGAGCCAGTTTCATCATAGTGCTTGATGGTTTTTGCGACTGCACTTGAAGAAACTTTCAAAGTTCTTGAAATGTTCTGTATTGACTGACCTTCATGTCTTAAAGTAATGATGGACTGTCGTTTCTCTTTGCTTTCTTCTGTATACCCCCCCCCCCCCCCCCCCGCCTTGTCACAACACAACTGATTGGCTCAAACGCATTAAGAAGGAAAGACATTCCACAATTTAACTTTTATGAAGGCACACCTGTTAATTGAAATGCATTCCAGGTGACTACCTCATGAAGCTGGTTGAGAGAATGCCAAGAGTGTGCAAAGCTGTCAAGGCAAAGGGTGGCTATTTAAAGAATCTCAAATATAAAATATATTTTGATTTGTTTAACACATTTTTGGTTACTACATGATTCCATATGTGTTATTTCATAGTTTTGATGTCTTCACTATTATTCTACAATGTAGAAAATAGTAAAAATTAAGAAAAACCCTTGAATGAGTAGGTGTTCTAAAACTTTTGGTCGGTAGTGTACAAACATCCCTTTCTTGGCGTGTTGTGGTCAGGTATTTCAAGGTGCTAATCCAGGAGATGGATCTGAAGTTGGACCTGGGCTTCCTCTATGCCATCTTGGATTTGTTCACTCCGGAGAACGCCAGCGTGATGACATCAGAGCAGCAGGTTTTTATTTGTTTTATTTATTCAGGGGAAAAACCCATTGAGATCAGGGTCTCATTCTCAAGGGTTCCCTGATCACAGTAATGCAACAATCAAATACAATGTAAAATAAAACAGCACAACACAAAATGTAAGAAAAACGGTTCCATTCCTCAGCTACTAGGTCCTCAGTTAACACTTTAAATTGCCTCAGCGGCACCAGAACATCCAATTGTAATGAGTTTTGTAAATTGTTCCAGTAGTGAGGTGCATTAAAACTAAAATATTTACCTGATTCGGTGGAGACCCGAGGAACCTCGAGTTAACCAACCCTGTGAACGGGTTTGGTGACTCATGTTTTTATACTTCAACAACAAAGTTAGGTAAATTGGAAGCTTGTGTAGTAGAGCTTTGTAAAAAAAAACTGTCACCTGTGATTAGAGCTGTCCCCGACAAAAAAAAATATATTGGTCGTCCGAAAGTCGTCTGTTCTTTCGACCAATCGGTTGCTCGAGATTTTTAAACGTATCTTTCCATTTATGTATGTGTTTTCATAAAATCAACTATGTGCATTGAGCTTGTCTGATGCTTTAAACTTACTGTTTGATGCCTCGAGGGCGCCAGAGATCCAGATAACCAGAAGAAAAAAAACTTAACCTGACCCAACTACAGTATATTCTCTTCCCGCTGCTGCTTGCTTTCGCAGATTCTGCCATTACTCTCCTGAAGTTGCCGGTAACAGGCTACACGAGGAGTCGGCAACCTTTCTCAAGTGGAATGCCAATTTATCTTACCATTTCTACCGATCTGCGTGCCAGTTAGGGTTTTCATATGCACATATTCGTGAAATAGTTTAATTTAATTTATAATTACGTCTTCATATCTCAATCATTGTCATGTGGTTATTCATATCTAAATGAAAATAATACAAACCTAAAAGTAACTTCTATTGCCAACAATGTAAAAATAGCCTACATAAAGCCAACAAATAAAAACATTTCAACCTGCAGGTAGAAAATATCCTGATAAATATCCTATAAATCACAATGGCTACACATGGCCTGTCTGCAACGAATTTGAAACATTGCATTAACTTGGGTCCGGCCCGAAGCTTGTGCTAGCGAACTTGCAACATTGTGTAAAATATTCTGGGTCATCAGAGTTTCCTGCACCAGTGAGCTCGGGACAGACACAGCTGTAGGCTATTTGCGCAAGGGATAAGAAGCCGTGATGACTTGGGCAGGAGTTCACCGGAGCCGAGTACCGGCACCTCAAATGTTCTACTGCTTGAGCTCCTGTTCCTCTTATAGAATATTAGCTCAAAGGTATTGTGGAGCTCCTGCACCTAAATAGAAACAGTACCAGCACCCACATTGAGTACAGGAACCTATTTCAGTCCAAGTCAAGCACTGATAAGAAGCCTATGTTATGACATTTCTACTGGATCAGAGCATGACATTTTTCCCTTTCACGCAGAGTGGTTAACGAAAGGGAGAGAGCTGGAAAGATTTTTCAAATACATTGAAGAACTATTGTAATTCTCAATGGATTTAATAACCAACTTTGTTTGCTTGCTGTTTGAGGTGAAGACAACATTACTTTGAGAAGCTCCACAGGTCATTAGTGGTGGTGCATTAAGCCAATCAGATCCCCTAATGGGCATATTTATATGCCTACATTTGCGCGCAGGCCAGGTAGCCTATAGGCCTACTTCTATGCGTGCGCGTCCTTACTCAACATTCACAGGAGCGCCCCAAACAAAAGACAATGACTAAATTGACAGAACTCGTAAATGGAATTAAATAATCCTAAACTTATTTCTCACAAGTGAAGCATAGGTTGTGCACTCTGAAAACAAAGTGTCCAGTCCGACAATGAGAACAGGAAAACTGGAATAATAATATTGAATGCATTAAAAGAAATGACCGTAACCAAAGTAACCAACATTGTAGATAAAAAAATTATAGGAATTAACGGTAAATGTACTACTGGTGATATATGTAATTGGGAATTGATATACACTAACAATCAGATGCAAACAATTCGCTCAATAAAGTTATGAAACAATGAATTGGCGCAAATTGGCGGGAGAACGCATTCTGGAGAGAGAAGTGCATTGTGCATCTGGGCACATGGTCAATCTGACGTCTGCATTGGCCATGCAGCATTTACAGTGAAATGGCCTCAGCAGAAGTCAGGACATTCATACTTCTTGTGCTTCGCGGAGCAGTGCAGAGCTGTTGTCAAGGGAGTGAGTTTGTGTTTATACAGGATGTACCGCCCCCACCTACCGTCAACCAATCATGTCAATGCGGAGCTATACAGAGCCCTCCGCATTGTTTAACATTTTTGGAGGTGCATTGCGATGCGGTACAGAGCTCAATTTGGCCTCTGCATGCCTCTGGAGGCTCCGCAATTGCATCACACCGTCCATATGGAGCCTCCGACCACATTTTCGAATCAAGCATAAATTGCCTTTTAGTCTAGGCCTCCGCAATGGATTAGTTCACTGAGATGGCTCTGTCGTAGCCGGCCGCGACCGGGAGACCCATGGGGCGGCGCACAATTGGCCCAGCGTCGTCCAGGGTATGGGAGGGAATGGCCGGCAGGGATGTAGCTCAGTTGGTAGAGCATGGCGTTTGCAACGCCAGGGTTGTGGGTTCGATTCCCATGGGGGGCCAGTATGAAAAAAATTAATAAACAAAATAATGTATGCACTCACTAACTGTAAGTCGCTCTGGATAAGAGCGTCTGCTAAATGACTAAAATGTAAATGTAAAAAATGAGATGGGCGCATATATACAGTGCCTTCGGAAAGTATTCAGACCTCTTGACTTTTTCCACATTTTGTTACGTTACAGCCTTAGTCTAAAATTGATTAAATAAAATAACAAATCCTCAGCAATCTACACACAATACCCCATAATGACAAAAGGAAAACAGGTTTTTAGAAATGTTTGCTAATTTATTAGAAATTAAAAGCAAAAATACCTTATTTGCATAAGTATTCAGACCCTTTGCTATGAGACTCGAAATTGAGCTCAGTTGCATCCTGTTTCCATTGATCATCCTTGAGATGTTTCGACGACTTGATTGGAGTCCAGTTGTGGTAAATTAAATTGATTGGACATGATTTGGAAAGGCACACACCTGTCTATATAATGTCCCACAGTTGACAGTGCATGTCAGAGCAAAAACCAAGCAATGAGGTCGAAGGAATTGTCCGTAGAGCGTCAAGACAGGATTTTGTCGAGGCACAGATCTGGGGAATGGTACCAAAAAATGTCTGCAGCATT